CCGACGCAATGTGCTCTTTGGCCTTCCTCTTTTTCGCTTCCCTTCAGGATTCCAAGTTAGGGCTTGCCTCGTCATGCAGTTTGACGATTTGCGTAATGTATGTCCTATCCATTTCCATCGTCTTTTCCTAATTTCCTCTTCAGCTGGAAGCTGGTTTGTTCTCTCCCACATGGGCTGTTGCTGATGGTATCCGACCAATGGATGTTTAGTATCTTGCGAAGACAGCTATTTATAAATACTTGCACCTTCTCGATGACGGTTGTTGTAGTTCTCAAAGTTTCAGCGCCGTACAGTAGAACTGCCTTGACGTTCGTATTGAAGATTCTCACTTTGATATTGGTTGACAGACAGTTGTTTTGAGTTCCATATGTTCTTCAATTGTGGGAATGCTGTACTTGTTTTACCAATCCTCGCCTTTACGTCTGCATCTGATCCTCCTTGCTCATCGACGATGCTTCCCAGATACGTGAAAGACTCCACATCTTCCAGTGTTTCGCCATCAAGTGTGGTTGGATTGCTGTTCTCCGTTTTGAATTTGAGGACCTTGGTTTTCCCCTCGTGTATGCTTAGGTCTACTGATGCAGAGACTGCAGCTACACCGGCTGTCTTTGTCTGCATCTGTTCGTGTGTATGCGATAGGAGGGCTATGTCATCTGCGAAGTTCAAACCGTCTAATTGATTCTGAGCTGTCCATTGTATTCCGTGTTTTCCCTCAGATGTCGAGGTCTTCATAATCCAGTCGACCACCGGAACAAAGAGGAAGGGGGAGAGTAGGTATCCTTGTCTGACTCCGGTCCTTACTTGGAATGCATCTGTCAGCTGTCCTCCATGCACGACTTTGCATTGTAGTCCGTCCAATGAGTTCCGGATAATATTGACAATCTTCTCGGGAACTCCGTAGTGTCGAAGAAGTTTCCATAACGTCCTCCTATCTACACTGTCAAATGCCTTTTCATAATCAATGAAGTTGATGTATAGTGACGAGTTCCACTCAACTGATTGTTCGACGATGATCCGTAGTGTTGAGATTTGGTCTGTGCACGATCGATCCTTACGGAATCCAGCTTGTTGATCTGGAAGTTGGGCGTCTACTGTATCTTTTGATGTATTGGTTGAAATACAAATGCTTTAACAACTAACCTACTATTTAATGTAGTCACTATATTATCACGTGATTAAAAGGAATTTAGTTTATTGGCCTAATTAAAAATTTACAAGTCTAATAGTCCATTTCTTGGAGTGCGATTTGACTACAAATATACTTGATCCCAACCAATTTCGGATATTTTCTTAAGCCAGTTACATTATTAAACTACCCAGTTTTAAGAATGGGATACCAAACAAAAAAGATTTTGCGGAAATTATTCACAACCGATTTTAGCTTGATATTGTATAACTAATATTTTTAATTTATAGTGTAATGTGTTGTGGGCTGCTCATATATAAAGCAAGTATATCTGATATATACGATATTTGTGGTCTAGACTAGACTAGGTGAGATAATAATATACAGTGGACCAATGAAAATGCAGAGTTGACTCAGTGCTGTTCTGATGCATCATTACAAAAGATCATTAAAGTCAGTATTCTGGTTAGCAAATTTGTTGTGATATTTGACGAGCCAAAGAAAATAACAATTATATTTCTGAAGTGCACTACAGTAACAGACCGAATTTCAAATCTGAGCGTTAGTTAGCAGGACTAGAGGAATTATGTGCAGGAAATTCTCTATCAATCCGTAGACAAAACAAATAAACCCCAAAAACGTACAACGAACAGATAAAATTTCCAAGGGTGTACGAAATGAAACTTCGACACTAAGATCATTAGATAAGAATGAACACACCTCAAATAAATTTTAGAGCGATGTTACAATTACGAATGTTAATGAGTAATAGCAATCAGTACAGAATTTAAAATATAACATTACTTAAGTTGTTCACCGAGTAGGTGAAATAGAGATGAGAATTGTGCCATTCCACTAAACACTAACGAATGATTAATATTATTATTTAAATAAATATCGATTGGAAATAGTTGTTTGAAATGAAGTTACATGAGATTTTGAAAGAAAACCTATTTGAACAGTTAAGAAAAAATGTCACCGGTTAGAGACTGAAACATAAATGTAACAGAAAAAATATCACAAAATAAATAGCTTAGTATGTATTCACCAGTGATATCAACCTTGTTCGTTCCGACGGACATTACTGGTTGACGATGCACGATCAAACACCTTCGCCAATTAACTGGCACACTGCATGAAAGATTCCCCTCCCATCTAAATAATCACCCTAGTAGTCTCAAGCCTACCTATCTGCCCAAGATCAAAAATATTTCTCCTTTCTATCATTATCGCCTTCTGGTTACAAAAACCTCGGATTGGTGTTGTCCATTGCTTCAGTATGACGTCATCTTCATACACAATACTGATGACAGTTTGAATTATTCAGATGCCATCACTAAGAAGGGTCATAGAAATTGTTGAATTTTACTGAGATCACGAACTGACTCAAGTTAGACAACTCAGATTCACAATCTCAATAAAGTATACACTAGTTTATAATTTACTTCTCTTTTAAAAACGTACAAATCATCTGTTTGTAGGCTTTTTAGTGTGTTGTTTAAAAATTCTAAAGTAAATCTTTTTGTCTAAGCATAACGTTACTAGTTCATAAATCTGAAAAGTTTCATGTCAATTTACAATTAAACTGATGGGAAAAACGTTCGATACTAAAGTAGCTAGTTTAATTAATGTTTTAGCTTCTGCCTATTTCTAAGTATAGTTTAATATTACAACCTAAAATATTCATATTTCGAGAACGATTCTAAAATTACTTTGATTTTTGGGCAGCCAATTATGATGAAGTAGAGTTTTTTCACGCTAGATTGTGACCCATAATGCTGCATGATCTGATTAGTACAGCAAGCTAACATTTTTTAAGCTAATTAATATTCATATACAAAAAGCCATAATTATCGAACAAAAATAATTTCGAAAAAGTTGGAATAAAGAATTTCTGTTATACACCTAAAATTGACACCCGCTATCCAGTTTAAGACAAGGAACAAGAGAACGCAGCACTATTTATGGTTCATCCATGTCATTTTATGCAATCTCTTGGCTGCTACTATACCAACTCACTCGACTAATTGGTCGTTACATAGATTAGGCCAGTGTTTTCATTCATTAAACATCAATATATAAACTAAATCAAGAGTGTGGTTTAAACCTAAGATTTCAGTGTGGTTTAATATCGTAGATTATATACACATAAACTATCTGGTTAAAATACCATAATAGTATTACGGACATCTTAACAAGCGACACGATTGCGAAAAATGGACTTTTAGTGGTCCGGCCATGTTATAAATGTCGTCCCAGCGATCTCCACATTGCGTATTATTTGCTGACGCTGGAAGTGAATGGAAAAAGCAATGAGCTAGTATGTCTATGAAATGACGCCATGATATGAAAAATAACTATGTAGATTTGCAGTTTGTCGCTTCATCGTGACTCCCTGATTGTGCACCATTATCAAATATCACTCAGAACAGAGGTTAGTCGCAAAGTTGCTGTAGTATGTTATAACAATGAGATGAGTTTCATTGGCGAAAATGATTGGCTCTTGACTGTACTTCTTAGCAAATATTATTTCTATTTATTTCCTAATCACTTGTAGTATAGTTCACTCATATTTATCCTCAATATTATTAATTAATGTGTGAAGCATTCTTGGTTTGGTGACCCATTGTACTAGAATTTATGTGCTTTAAATAAAGCAAATTTTATACACACAAACTATATGATTTTGAACCATTATTCTTTCAATTTGGTAAATGACTTCAGCTTGTATCATACACTAACTGGCTGGTCCATCAACAGACAGATAGGAAATTTACGTAGTTAAAGGTAGTAGATATATGTGGGAATTTCAAAGATAATTAGGTTTATAAAAAGTGCTGTGAAGAAATCCATATTTAAAATGATTGATAAAAATTCTTTTCACAAGCGACTGCAATTAACATTAACCAGTAATAAGTCCTATTATGTAGTTTTTACAAGTCAGTAACCTTTCTACAAACATTAACTCCAAAAGTTTTCTTAGCCAAAGAAACTTACACCCTTGCAAGTTAATTCTTTAATTGTGTGAAAGCATTACAACAAACATTTGTTTACGCAACATATAATGGAGTTAGCAATAAAAATCAGAATATCTTTGTTCATGATAAATCATGTTACCAACTATGTACTTTATGGGACTGTTGGAAAAACACTTCGGTCTTGATGATTTGATAATATACGAATAGAGCATCAGTGTTTACTTTTTTCGTAAAATGGATTTTGAAGAAATCACTTCGAAATATTCACTCGAGATTCGTTGAAATTCATGAATTTAATATAAAAACAGGATTATAATTATTACTAAGCATATCTGTGAAGGCGAAGTATTATCACTGACTAATGGGAAATCTTTGTAGGACCAAATTTAAAACCGATGAATTGACTTTAAGAGGGATTGTAATTATCGAGGACTGATTATCTTACAACTTATATTTCTTTATTCAAGAAGTGTTCTATAACTGTGTATCACTATGTTTAATTTGACAAAATGTTACACATTAATCCCTTACTGTTAATTTTAGATTTCCCATGTGAAGCTGAGTAATACAAATTGGAATCCTGTATAGATCAGTCGTTTGAAGATTACAAGTAAGCCTTGTCCACAGGCGTCAGGTAGTACGAAACATACGTCAAGCATTTCTTATCAACTTCTTTCAACTAAATAACAACTCTATGTAGTCCACAAAATGTCGAACTACTTGGAGTAGTGGACATATTGCGACTAGATTGATAGAAATCAATCACAACTGAAAGACCAAACAAATATGACGCTCGTTACTAGTCAGTGACCAATTTAATTCCACCATGCTCTAGGTAGTCATCTAATACGTTTAATCAAAAATACACAGAGGGTTTAAATTAAAAACAATGATTTTAAGTGTTGATTATTATTATTATCACTATGGAGAAACAAATGTTTATTTAAAATAAATAAAATTAAGAATATCAATAAAACAAGACGCAGCTGTCAAACTATTAAAACATATCAAAATAAGAGTTTAATTTAAAAGAAGAGAAAATAAAATAAAAGAAAAGAATCCCTTCCATCGCCTTGCTCAACGAGAGAAAAGGATTTATATAACATCACCTCCTTCGTCAACAACAATATTCGATTTTTTCGCCGTCGTCGTCGTCACCACCACTTCTTCTTCCTCTTCTAAACCTTTAATATTCTGAAGTGACGTTTTCAAACTGGAGACCAGTTTTTGGATAGTTGGATTCTCGGAACAATTTAAAATATTACCAAATTTGGGCACAACTGTCTTGATTAAAAATTCTAAATTGATTATAATGATAGATTGCTAAAACAGAAAAACAAAATAAAATGTGTACAAGGAAATTTACGTAAATCATGAAATGAAAATCAACCAAACAAAAGTTATGAACATGTAATTTCATGAACAAAATTGTTATGGTTTTTCCTATAAGGGTCAGTGAACAAAATTTTTCCAACTAACACTGCTCAAGTGATTTTCTAATGTGTAAGCGGCCCAAACTTGTGTTGATGATGGGACTACTAATTGACATCCGAACTGATTCTTGTGTGACTAAATCAGGTATATATATATATATGTTACACTACTGATATCTGGTAGTAAGGCCATAGTTTTACTCGGTTGATAAATGACCTACAAAATCGGAATTCGACAATCGCTTATATTCTACATAAATTCTTAAATCCATCTTTCTACTTTACACCACGAACTGATCTTAGTAAAAAAAACCCATTGAAAACCAAGAAACACCAGACAGTTGTTTCGGGTATCCATGATCCGATCGGAGATTAAGGGCAAGACTATCAAGTTTCGCAACGAGCGCCTAACGGTCAAACAGCTGTGACAGCAGTTAATAGCTTAAATCATTTTGTGGTATCGAACAATCACACTAGGATGAAATAGATGTCAAATGCTTTTCGGTTTGATTATCTAAGAGCAGTTCGTGGTGTAAGCTGGAAAATCCAACAATCTTAATAAACTTTCCACCCATCCCATCCAGTAAACTATTTTTCTATTAAATATTCTGTACACATGTATAGAATTCTTTTATATAAATACAATTTACTTTGCTAAACAGACATCTAATATCTGTTTATAAAAGGTTTTTCTATCAATAATTCAGATATTTTAAACAAATACTCACCACGTACATTGTAACAAAATTAAGTTGACCAACCAAATCTTAGCTTTGGCTTAACAGTACAAATAGATCAAGTAAACAAATTAAACTGGAATGTCGTGGATTACTTACTCTAGCCGGATCAGAAATATCAATAGGTGAAACACGTTCAAAACAATCAAGTTCTGAATTTAATGTTTGTACAAAACACGATATTAAAGTTAAATCTAACTCGGAACAATTTAATAGATGGACACTTTGAATAAATTGTCGTAGAGACCGAATAAGGTAATATGTACTCATTGTTAATTTTAAACCATCTGAAAAATAATAATAAAAGGATAGTAAACTATGATAATACAAAGTATGTAGAAGCAAATTTAGGATTTGTTGCATTCTTAAAATAACACATTCTTGAATTGTATTGGATCTGTGTGATCGGGCTGTTTAATATGAGAGAAATTGAATTATCTAGTTCGATAACCGACTTATTTGCCTGTATTGATTATAAGACCAGTGATCCTTTTATAAATCAGTAACGTAAAGAGCTTTTCTTGGGCTATGTTTCGGTGATTGTAAATAAAAACGGAAAAATCTTAAATGCTTGTTGACCCACGAGTTAAATCCTATCAGAAAAGGAAGATGACAGGGAGAATGATTTTTCATTGTAAGTAATTACGACTTAAAAACGATACAAAAATAAACTTCAAATAACTGGCTGCATGGCAACATAAATAGAAAACTAAAGTGAATACCCAACTCAGTCATGAATGAAAGGGAATGATGTATCTAGAATAGTCAGATATATCGCAAATCTTTATGCGTCAAACGTTAGCTTATGAGTAGAACATGACAAAACAATACCTCAACTGTCAAAACTGAGATAGATGAAAAGTGATTTAAACCTGCGATGTATTAGTTTAAAAACAAAGTTTAGCAAGTGAGCAACAGCTTCCAACAGAGATCAGCTTTAGCCGAATTCGCAACACAAATAATTAAACTACCAACCTGCAAAAGCTTTTGTAGACTTAAATAATCAATAGTAGATACTTTCTCCACTTTCTCCATTTTTGTTAAACTTTATCATATTCATACTGATGGAAATACCGCTCTCATCGACTGAATTTTTGGACATTGATCTAGCAGGATGTCCGCTTATTGACTTAGAATACGCAGATGACAGTCCTGTTTAGTGAAGAAGCTGATAAGACGCAGTCTTTTGGTAACACTAAGCAACAATGCCAGGATGTTTGGGATGCGCTTCTTCCCCTCTAAATGAAAGTTGTTGCTTCAGGACTGGTTAGCGTCAACACCTGAACCAAGGATAGGGAATGAAGTAGTTGAACCCGTCGACAATTTCACTTATCTTGGAAGTCCTATCAACCCTAGTGGCTTGGTGTCTGACGAAATCACTGCATGGACTCGAAAAGCTCGTTTGGATTTTGCCAACTTACGTCACCTATGATAAAGGTGAGATATCAATTAAGGGACAAGTATAATGAGCGGCAGTCCGTTCTGTTCTACTTTACGGCTGCGAAACGTGGCCATTAAGAGTTGAGGATATTCGTAAGGTACTAGTATTTGACCACAGATGCCTTAGAAATATTGTTGGTATCTGCTGGGATCACAGGTTATGTGGTAGTAAAGTTAGACGTACGGTATTAGGGAATGATGGTAAATTAGTTGATGAGGTTGTGAATCTTCATCGACTGAGATGAATGGGCCACGTGTTACGTATGCCTGAACATTGATTACCACGACACGCAATCCTGATTAGTGTTGAGGACGGTTGGAAGAAAGTTAGGGGCGGCCAAACCAAAACGTGGCATCAGTCCTTGAAGTCAATAACTTCTGGTCTGGGCCATGTTGGTATGCAATCCTTTTTTTATATATTACTACCATTGAAGTAACTAGTTCTACGAATCCGGTATTTATCTTACTGTGCTAATGAGGTATGGCAACTTGGACCGATGCATATGTGCCTGGTCCTACGTTATAGCTGGCTGAGATACTTCAAAATGCTTGCCAGTATTTATGTTTTGTGTCTCAGTTTTCAGTATTAAAATTCTTGTACCTAGCTGACTAAGAGCTATAACACAAGTGTATCGAGAAAGTGTATATAGTCTAGTGAATGTGGAGGACTTACAAAATGTCCAAACCATTAAATATTTCAATGTTAACCAACGTGAAAATTGAAGACCTAAGAAAAGCCTAAGATATACAAAAACAAGTTAGATGGCGGTTGGAGGTAGTCGACAGGAAACCCTGGACCCGGGTTTCGTGCTACTTGGAACTCGTCAGCAAGGTGTGCCTGTAATCCTGAGGGAACTGGTGCTCCCTGGCGGATTCGACTCTGTGTCACCCAGCTTCACAATCAGAGACGTTACCACTGAGCTATCCGGGCCGCGACTGACGTTGATCACCCCCTAGTGATCAATCAATTGTGATTTACAAAGACAAGTTTCTAGAAAATGAAAAGTGATGATAAGACTGTGTAACAATGACTGTAAAGATCAATGAATTAATATAAGTTTAAAAGAGACACAAGAACGAAGAAAGTAGTTCAGCATTGACAGAATAAATAAAAAAAGATATTGACCTCATTAAATGTTATAAACCAAAGCTATTAAGGTAGTGTAGAAGTCTGATATAGAATATCCATGCAGGGGAATTGGCAAACCCTGATTCCAAAACATTGGTGCACATGGGTTTCAGGATCCTGAGGAAACAAATGGCGTATGAACATGTTGTTGGTCACTGGCTACCATGGGACTGCATCTCCTAACGTTGCTCTACTACCTTGTGGATCATACCTCTAGGTCAAAGCCTCAGGGAGTTACACCTTAAGAAAACCACCTGCCTTGGTTTAAGCGCGCGGGTAGTGTTTTAGAAGTCACACAAATCAACTGTCTGAGCATTTCTACAATTTTTTATAATAATTATTACCACTAATAATAAATATATTTTTTGATATTCCAATCAGAGGAAAATTGTATTTCTGACGTTTCGTGACTTAATGTAAGAAGTAATTTACATTATGTCACGAAACGTCAGAAATACAATTTTCTACTCATTGGAATATCGCAATAATACATTTATTATTAACTTCCTACAAAATGTTCAATTTAATTAAAACTATAAAGTTCAACCTCAGCATTGATACATATAAATTATGACAAGAATTCATGACATGAATAAGGGGACATAAATTAACGGACTTCATATATATGAATGAACAACACGTTTAAAATGTAACTTACAATCAACTGCGGTATATTGGTTAAGTATTCCAAATTCCAATAGATCTGCAATGATTTTATCTTGTTCCCCTTTAGGTAGATTCGATAAAGTTTCCCAAGATTCTTGCTGAGAAAATAAATCAGAAACATACTTACTATATACACTGACAAGTACTTTAACTGTAATCTTCACGTGTATATTAAGTGATTACATATTAGAGAATGGAAAATTTATTTTAAACATTTAACAGAGAAGTGTATGTAATTGTTTGTAAGCAATATCAGAATATACCGTGATGTGGTGTATGGTAGTGTCAACATTTATTTATATTACAATTATCACCAGTTACGGTTGTGTATGAGTAAAATTGAGTCAATCAAAATCGGTAAAGAGGAGTGTAAAGTTGCATTTACCAACTCATTCGTTAATATGCGACGGAACTGCTAATAACGCCTCAGTTTCTTGTAAATGACTGTTGGAATTTTTCTGTGAAAATGATAGCGATAACGTCTTTAAATTCATATCTTCACAGTGACTTTGGCTGTCATTTGATTGTTGTCACGTTTAGTTTGCTACTTTTGTCGTGACATAAGGTCCATTGTTATACATACAGAATTGCTCAACTTGAAATAAATCGCGGGAGACACTTACTATTAGTTATTCGTCTACGCATAACTCCGAAGATGAAATCAATACAATTCACATTTTTATCAGTTCCATAGTACAGCAGCCTTTAAATTGGGGAACATTTACATATTAGAGTCCTCGAAGAAATACTACAGAAAATTCAGTAAAACTCATTTATTATGTTATTTGAACTGCAATCAGGTGTATAACAAAATGTTACTTATAAGTTTTGTTCCAATTTACAGTGCTCTCAGTTCGTACAGGTCCGTTCAACGGAAAACTGTTTAAACGATTGATCACCGAATGGCCAAAACTGAATGGTATCCATACCTCGGACAGTTAACAAAAACTGATTACTTATAATCCCATAGGGCCATTGAGAGATTGGCATTAATTCATCATACCAACTAGACAAGTTCGAGCGAATAGCATTAAGTGGATCTGCCGTGTTCATTCCAAAGAGCATAACAGATACCTGTATCTTAAAATGTGATTCCTAACATAAGTTTATTGTTAAATATGATATAGCCTGTAGACAGCTAGATACTAGATTTTGCAATGGATATTAAATTATTACTTACTGTTACTCCTCGTAGAAGGACATATGCCACTCACCAGCATTCTCCATCCAACCCTGTCCTGGGCAATCCTTTCCAGCTCCTTCCAGTTCCTATTCATCCTTTTCATATCTGCTTCTATTTCCCGACGTAACGTGTTCTTTGGCTTTCCTCTTTTCCGCTTCCCTTCAGGATTCCAAGTTAGGGCTTGCCTCGTCATGCAGTTTGATGATTTGCGTAATTTATGTCCTATCCATTTCCATCGTCTTTTCCTAATTTCCTCTTCAGCTGGAAGTTGGTTTGTTCTCTCTCACAAAAGACTGTTGTTGATGGTATCCGGCCAATGGATGTTTAGTATCTTGCGTAGATAGCTATTTATAAATACTTGCACCTTCTCGATGACGGTTGTTGTAGTTCTCAAAGTTTCGGCTCCATACAGTAGAACTGCCTTGACGTTCGTATTGAAGATTCTCACTTTGATATTGGTTGAAAGTTGTTTTGAGTTCCATATGTTTTTCAATTGTGGGAATGCTGTACTTGTTTTACCAATCCTCGCCTTTACGTCTGCATCTGATCCTCCTTGCTCATCGACGATGCTTCCCAGGTACGTGAAAGACTCCACATCTTCCAGTGTTTCGCCATCAAGTGTGGTTGGATTGCTGTTCTCCGTTTTGAATTTGAGGACCTTGGTTTTCCTCTCGTGTATGCTGAGGCCTACTGATGCAGAGACTGCTGCTACACTGGCTGCCTTTATTTGCATCTGCTCGTGTGTATGCGATAGGAGGGCTAGGTCATCTGCGAAGTCCAAAACCGTCTAATTGATTCTGAGCTGTCCATTGTATTCCGTGTTTTCCCTCAGATGTCGAGGTCTTCATAATCCAGTCGACCACCGGAACAAAGAGGAAGAGGGAGAGTAGGTATCCTTGTCTGACTCCGGTCCTTACTTGGAATGCATCTGTCAGCTGTCCTCCATGCACGACTTTGCATTGTAGTCCGTCCAATGAGTTCCGGATAATATTGACAATCTTCTCAGGAACTCCGTAGTGTCGAAGAAGTTTCCATAACGTCCTCCTATCTACACTGTCAAATGCCTTTTCATAATCAATGAAGTTGATGTATAGTGACGAGTTCCACTCAACTGATTATTCGATGATGATCCGTAGTGTTGCAATTTGATCTGTGCACGATCGATCCTTACGGAATCCAGCTTGTTGATCTCGAAGTTGGGCGTCTACTGCATCTTTCATCCGGTTCAGCAACACTCTGTTAAAGACGCTTACCAGAAAAAATAAAATCTGAAATACTTAAGTCAATTTCTCTAGCATGTTAGGATCTTAATAAATATGAATTTCCAGTATTACAGCTTAAATAAGTAAGCTTGATCATCATATCGTGATAGTAGCGGTCAAGTTCACAGTCCAAATGATTCAGTAGGATGTAAGATTCATAATATAACTCTGGTTTGGTGAGTGGCATGTAACAAAGACAAGCTAAAATTAAACACGAACACTGTATTACGCCTCATGTAAAGTCTGTTCTGCATCTACATAGGAGAACCAGGTTGAGAACGAACCGAAGTATCTTACACAACAATTAACAAATTCTCTGGTCTTTTGACCATAAATTTGATGACTAAAACCAGTTGTAACTTGACTAGTAATTATGAGATTGATCTTTTTCTTTTACGACATTCAAGAAGCAGCTTAATGTAAGCAAAACTTTATTGACATCAGTTTTCAATTATTAAAATAACAAGTTATGGACTGAAAAATACGATAGTTACTTTTGCACGATTTTCAACAGCTTCACAGAGTAAACGTGACTGTTCATCAGCAGCACGTTTCCATGCACGTGATAAGCTTCGATTGAGAGTAGAAGAAATATCAACACTCAGTAATTCAGTAAGCTAATGAAAGAAAAACAATACATGTCTGTTTTAATTTACAATAGTAATTTGGGTATAATAGTAATTCAATATACAATGGTGCATTGAAAAAAAAAAGAATTATAACGTACTATCATAATTGCCAAACATATGAAAGACCATTGATTAAATATAATAGAATATTCCTGGGTTCCTTTCTGCATGTAATAATTGTGTGGAAAGCATATATGATCGATAACAAATATGTACTTTTTTTACTTTATAAGATAAAAACAATTAATATAACTACGAATATGACTAATTACAAATATCAATACATATTAAGGTCAAACAGATATTTTATTAGATGTGTAAATGTATACAAAGAAATTGAAAGGCTTTTTAACAAGCGAATTAATAACAATTATTATATCTTAATAAAAATATTTAATAATAATAGTAGAGATTACAAACCACATCTACTAAGTGCAGGTTCATGTATGCGGATTTCAACCAATAGCTCGGAGCCTCTCCACCTAATTCCGTCTGGATGGCCAAGTAGTATCACTAGGCCTACACAAAAACAATGTGGTTCAAAAGTTAAGGATAAGAAACGGTACTTGGCAAGTGATTTACTATAAAACCTTGGGTTTGAACCAACCTTTGTGTGAGTTAATGAGTAATATTACGCAGTTGTCTAAGTCGCACTAGGCGGAGCAATGTTAGAACTTATGATCTCTAGGTTTGAATCCGAATACCCTAACCATCAACCCATCCATTTAGGCATGAAAAAAATTCAGTCCTCTTAGATAAAATTTACTAATTTCTCACCTTATCAGCATGTGCCTTAATTCGTTGAGCAGCATAAGCCATTGAATAAAATGATACTGCATGACTATCGATCAGTAAAACACGAAGTTGTTGACCGAATTTCTCAGTTTCATCCAATGTCCAACTATAAAATTCTATTTGTTTTTTAAAATAACCAAATCTTTTTTAGTAAAAATTGGAATGGAAATATTTGAAAATAAATCTTGTTAAACTATTTAAAAATAAAACGAGTCTTTCGTTTCTTATGATTACGGCATGAAAATTTTCCTACCCGAGATTTGTAAATATTTTAAGTTAGTGAGTAATAAAATAGTCCCATGTATTGGTGACCATAATCGCTTTCGTAAATCACATTTGTTTTTTCAATTAATTGGCTTTTTGACAAGTTATTGAGAAATTTTGGATGTCCCGGTAAACCAAGCACAGTTGACTGTCAAAGTTTACCTTAATTGTCGTTTCGAGAATTTTAAGCATTGCATTAAATCTGAAATCCAGAGAGAACACACGGAAAACTATCTGGTCGGTTATCAGGGTTGTATTTATTTACCATGTATTATTTTTTGGAAATAGTAAGGCACTTGGAGCTTAAGAATAGTAATGTGTGACTCATTCAGTAGCTGCATCAATAAGGCGTTTAGTTGAGAACCATAATAGTTTCTGCGCACAAAACACAAATCATTACACCTCCAGCAACTCAGATGTAAAGAAGAAAGATGTGTTAAACCTTATTTCTTGAGAACCTATAAGACAATCTGAGGAGACAAATTTTACCTGTTTATGCACAACCATTGGAATGTTTCGAAATATGCACCATGAATAAATGCAATCGATTTCACTCAGGATCGTTGTACAAAACTGATAAAAAAAGATTGTCTAGTAAGCTGATACGTCAATCACAATCGAAAACTGTGAGAAAGAAAGTGATAAATGAAGGACCAAGTACATTTTGAATCGCAGAGGACATGAGGCGTATGAACTGAGGACTGCAAACAAAAGTAAATTCATTATGAAAACCAGCTAAAGAGATTAAAAGACGAGCAAGCGAAGAACATGTTCCTTGAATCAGTTCTACGTGCGTTTAACTTGCCAATGATTAGCAGAGAGCTGTCATTAAGGAGGCTGATCGGTTAAAGGAGAACATAAATGATGCAGTTAAACATGGATTCGAAGCAGACCTGTTCCTAGAAGACAACCGGTTAAAGTGCTGGGGATGTTGGAGTAAGTTCGAGAGTTGTATCATCATTCACATACATAACTTTATACTGAAAATAGCACCATGACTGGAAAACGTGAGCATTATTTGATTTAGATCTCGCTAAACATTGTTTGTTTAGACTGAATTTTCATTCTCACACTCAGAAAATAATGTACATAGTATCAAGACAGCTGTGTCTATTCAAGTGGCTACTTATATTGGGACAAAAAATCTGTCTTAGAAAACCATAGCCTTCTTTTTTCATTTCCGAGTGTGGTTGTCTTGCTGAAGAGCCATTACATAGTAGTCGTCTAATCTACAGTGATAACTAACAGTTTCATTCCTGATACAAGACATTAAAAGGTCAATGCCTAAAGAATTACAACAATACTATTAAATAACAGAGTTGTTCCACTGAGAAATAATCAATCAATTGGTTTCTGGTTCTGTCTTCTGAAATCAAATAAATCTCAATTAAAAGACCTGTTCTATGAGCGAATAGTCTGTGAAGACACTGTAAGTACTTTAATGATTTTTCAAGACCTGTGTCGTTGGGACAAGAGATACCTCCAATCATGAAATTAACATCTGTTAATTTAAGTACCAATTTAAAATTATGCAAAAAGACTTTATAAATCTGCTTTATCTTTTATACCTAGTTTGAAAGTTTATATTTAACAACAGAGTAAGACGGAATAAAGAAAAATAAGTGAAAATCGACAGCGATAAGTTAGTTGTTTCCAGAAATATACCACCTGACTGCAACAGACAATTAATGGTAACTAGGAAAATCGAAGCCAAACATAAAATAACAAAGACCCTAATAATTCCTCCAACAAACTAATTAACATCCACAATGTTAATAAATGATAATTTATCGGATATTGGGATGGTTTTATACAGTGATAACACGAAACCGATGGTGGTAAAAAAAATAAAATTTACAAGTTTACGTTTAACATTCTAAACTGTTTGCAAATACATGTATACTTGGATCTCATGAAACTAATAGTGATATTTCTGTCAATTAATTACCTAAAGCGAGTAATTATCAAGTGGTTGGTAGTAATGATGCAAAACGCAATCAAAATTAAAAACGAAAATAAACGTTTTGTAATTACAATTCCAATATATTTTAGTAACTATTGGGTACTAATCCCTGAGATTAGAATTAAAGACACTCTATTACCCAATTGAAAGTATCATTGTTCTTTTTTTATTTTCATACGCACCATACATTTTTATCTCTTCCCATTCTCATTATTATCGTGTGGCGCATATGTAACTGGTGCCCCCTTGTACCAATATTTGTGTTCAAATAAATAAATAAACAATAATTATCAAACAAGTAACTACAAAATACATCTAAGCAACAATATATAACTAAAATAAATGAGTTGGAGAACAGTTTCTATTAGATGAAATGAAAGCTTATTAACATCATGGGGGAAATTGTAAACTCTATGTGATAAAATGACTGGATAATTCAAGAACATTTTAAAAATATCATACTATAATGTAACTTTAAGCAATGCTTACAAGGTAAACTTACTTAAAGAACAGATATTTTCAAATTGTTGTGGTGATATACCATTAGTTTTTGAGGCAAGAATTTCACCCAGCGGTTTAACTACACTTTGACACCATTCTACAGCTGTTTCAGCTAAATTACGATGGAAAGTAAGCGATAATTTATTTAAATAGATTAATTGATTGCCTTCTTGATGTACACCATGTGTCAAAGACTTTGTCATTACTTGTGAACGATAAACTAGAAATAATTCAGCTGCAAGAGATGCTTTACCAAGTAAACCTAATTGAGAAACAGCTGCTTTCACGGATTTAGGAGCGCCTTTAGAAAAGAAATATTTTTGACAAATAAACGGAAATGAAGAATAAATTTTAAGGAAATAGTGTAATGGGGAAATTAAGAATCAAACCATATGATACCGATTATATTCAAATGACCGATTGTTATCATTAATCTAATGTTAATGATTGAGTAGGTTTAGAATTAACTAAAAATATCAAGCACTAAATAGAAATAACGTTAACAAATACAGATTGCAAGCATTACATACCATGTCTACAAGCTGCTGATACTAATTCATATTGCAAAGATTCTGTAAGATTTCGTTCGTTACGTTCAATACGCTTAGATAATTTCTCCCAATCTGTTTTAGATCTATGATCAACAGTATCAGATATTTGACCTGGTGTACTAGAATTAGATGACTGTATATTTGTATCCATAGATGGTTTTGATATATCTCCAGTCAGTATTTGATTTAATGATTCTTTAGCTTTTACAATTAAATTAGTAGCACGTTGAAAATTTCGTTCAGAAATTGCTACATCTAAATCTTCTGGTACATCCCATAACCAATTATGTCGAGATTTATGACTTCCAACTTTTGCCATGGGAGATTTAACAGCTACGTTTTCAATAGAAAGGAAAACAATTTAAGATTTTAATAAGTGTATTTTAAAGGATTAAAACAATAAATAGGTTATTTTAAGAATTTCATCCATATATCCATGAATAAGAAAAATGAAGCTAGATAACAATTGGATATTTAAATGATTGGAGCATAAAGATAGCTACAGACAACTTCATGAAACGTTGATTAATTATAAGAGGAACTTTTATTACAATCCGATAGCAATTAAGCAATAAATATTTGACATCTGTCGCTTCATTCAAGAATGAAGACCTAAACGTTTGAATTATCTAACAGATATTCGGCTTTACAGAAGGTGAATCCGTAAATAATGTTTAAGATTTTCGGACATTAGGTAATTATTAACATGACTAAGTCGTTGCCTAATGATCCTAATGGATATTTCTTCCTAATCGTGGCTGATGACACAAGTAATGGTCTTCAGTAACAAATTCGTAAAACTTACTTTGAAATAAATATTAAATGTGAGGTTGCTGAGAGTGAGAGAAACTACTTTCATTATAAAACACTAATACTTAAAAAAGGAGGATGGATATCTACGGATGAAACCAGAGATGAATTGCGCCGAATAAAGCAGATATAGAGAATTTGGTTTCCAGTTTATAATATTACAGAATAACTGATGATGTGTGATTGATAAGCTTCGTGTCACAATGGATACTGTCTGATTTTCAGAAGTTTTCAAATGTTGCTATTTCATACGGAAGATAATGCTTGACATGATTCAAATTTTAAAAATGTAACCCTGGACCTATAAAACATGATGCTAACAGATTATTTGGAAACTTCCTGAGATATACTATTATTGTCATGGAATGAATTATGTATTATTTACCCCGAAAGCGCCAAAATAGCAAGATTTTTATACAAGCGCATATGATCGAACAATAGAAATGAAATACACACAAATATAGGTGAACGAGTATGAAGAGGAATTACATTAACAACAGAAAATGAGTTTTACATTTTAACGAAATATAGCGTGTCATTTACCAAAGAAGCTTACTTTCACGGGAATCATCAAAAGGATTTTTTTTAGCAGACAAGTCCAATTTATCGATAGGTGTTAAGAGGTCTACACAATCTGGTAAAGTGGAAGACAAAGCTTTATGACCAGCAACAACAGCTTCAGCAGATACCTTTGGAGGTAACATAGTCAACTTCATAGAATTGTTATCCAAAACGTCATAAGAATTTGTAGTAATATGGGGATCGGATCTTAAATTTGATGCAACATACGAATTAGTATTTCGATATTTACGCATCACTTCATCCAATAATGTTAACCAACGTTTCTAAAATAAAATGAACAAAATAGAGTTATATGGTTAAAACAAATAAAAGACACAAGATCAAGTTTCTAACAGAGATACAAAACAAGTAATTATAAACCATATAATTAATGACAATACGTAACTATCTAGACAGAAATAAATAGGACAAACAGTAACTTTTTTTCAGGTGAATACGTTACATCAGGGAAACTAACTTGATGTACTAATGATATATATCTTTCAAACAAGTGAAAAATAAGAGGCTTAGTGGGGAGGATGTTTCTGATACTATTTCCTAAAATTGCTTATTCAAATTTATATGGTGATTTGACGATTTTCTGTCGTTTCAAGAAAATAGCTCGACTAGTTTCTGTAGTTTTATATTGAAGAATATTACAAAACATAATCCCATGGAACTGATGTGTGGAGAAACAGGAATATCTAAGACTGTTTTAAACCATTCGCCGAAATATTTTCTAACAATTTCAGAGAGATTTGAGTAATAGGCAGATTTGAAAACCCTTTCCCCTACCAGTTAGTATCTACAGCATTAACACGAAAAGTGTGGCTAGATTCAATTGTATAAACTTGTATTTGACGAATGAATTTCTTCTAAAACATTCACTAAAAGTATGGTCTTCTGAAATGCGTGGATTATTTTAATATAGTGAAGTGTTGATCGAATGACAGTCCATATAGTATTTCACATTAAGCACATAATTTATTGTTTGAAGATGATAACTGGAAACTCGGACAATACTATGAATAAATGTATGTATATATTAAGTTTATGAACAATCACAAACTGAAAGATGTGTCCATAAATTGCACAACTTGAAAAATATTGTAGTTTGTCTTAATTTACTTTTAAATCCAAGCATTGTGATTGAGACAATAAGCCCAAGTATAATATTGATTACTGTTCAGATGTCAAGGAGTGTAGTTTTAATACGTATAAATAAGTTAAAGCGAACCGATTATTTGGCAGATACAATCATTATTAATACCTTGTCACTGGGCGTTTCAGTTTGGAAAAGACGATTAGTAGGAAAAACTATTAATTTGAACGCATTATTTGGAGTTTGAAGGCGATCCATGGGAGGGAAATTAGCCACAGCAAAGTTGTTCAAATCATACGTTGACTGAAGACGATATGGGTACGAGCTGTAAACGGAAGTAAAATTTGTGTTAGCAAGTCATACCTAGGATAACTTGTAAAATCTAAAATCAACACGAAGTTTCATACTATATATTCTTGACTTCAAGCTTTCCTACTATATAATCTTTCCATGTATTACAGCTAACATCATACATTGAGAGTAAATAAGTTAGGACAAGTAACATGTTTTGATTGTACATCAACCATTGATTAGTAGCCCTCAATAATGCCTACACACTGATTACGCAAAATATAAAATAGGAAGATAAGAAAGTACTGACTACTACGTATAAATGCAATTCACTCATGTTGTTCATCTATAGCAGATATATTTTTTCTACAATAGGACCAAGCCCAGTGCCTTAATTTAAGGTAAACTCTTGATGTATGAAAATCTGTCTCGGTAGTGATGACCAATCTTTTAAATGTATTCCTATTTATTTGATGATCAATTTGCGTTGAGTGTCTTAATCACTAAAAAGTTTCGAATTTATCCTCCAAAAATCGAATTAGTTCTACTCAATAAAGTTAAGAACCTCGAAGCATGTTGCTATGACAGAACACCAGTAAGTGTTCACACTAATGAAATGACTGAAATGGGTAAAATGAAAAATTTTCCTGAAATCCTAGCCGAATATACCTCAGAAGATAAAACCGCTAGCTAAATGGCAGTTGTTAAGGAATTAAAAATCCCACATGAACATAAAATACTCAACGAAAAAGGTTTGGATTGGTAGGGATGAAAATCGAATTCATAGATCAATGGTTGCTCACCATTGTCTATCGTATTACATGTGCCGTTAACCACAATTCAAACAAAGAGGGATATGTGACAATATCAACTGTATACTATGACTGTAAATGAAAATGGAAAACTGATCTGTCTAATAACTTGAAATAAGTGAATACTCATAGCTGAATTATTAGTTTTAATAAGACTTACGAGTTAGATTGACTGTGATATGCAATAACCAAAGTATCTGTTAATACAAAGACTCGAGCCATGCAAACAAAAGTGAAATCATTCATACTTAATTCACGCAGATCCCCATCAAATATAACACGACGACTTGAATCCCCGACCAAAACCTGGTTCGAAAATATCAAATATTAACAAAACGAAGATTTTTGATATTCCGGATACACGAAAATGCTCATTTTTAAATAACTATGATCAAATTCAAATCTGCTCAAATGCTTTTATATGGTTGATCAATGGATTTAATTCATTCTGTTTTATGATTATTTATGCCAGCTGGAAAGTTCTGCTTAATGACTTGGCGTCGCTAGGGTACATAATCTCAGACTAAAAGCGAATATCGATAAATTATCCACACTTATAGATACTAATTTGATCAAAAGGGTTTCAAAACTGTATTTCTAAACAACTGATACGGGTGACACTAGAAATATGAAGGAAAGAATGGAGCATGAACTCACCAGATCAGTGTTAAGTTGAGAAGTAACGTAAAAGCATGAAATAGGGGTAAAGTATTAAGTGTGAATTGGAATAATTAAGCATTCTTAAAAAAATAGGTGAACTTCATAGTAAAAAGTATTAATGAGACCTCCTTTTAGTCTATGATAGTGACTAGCAGCAATCAGTAACATCCATAACTCATCAGCACAAGGTTACCAATTAAAATGGATAAACCAGATTGATCTATAAAAATGAGCGATAACAAGAAAATTACTTATATCAACTGTGTATTATAGGTGCCGAAACATCTAATCACAGTTTTTACGGAAGTGGACGTCAAGATTTCCATAATAAATATAAACATACAGGTAGAATAAATTTGCCCTTCGTAAAACTCATATGAGAAAAACAAGAGGTTGCAATCTAGAAGAAAAACCGTGGGGTTTCGTAAATCATACTTGGGAAAATCTTTTAACATTCCTCGACAACCTGAAGGGATAAAGATGGGGTACACTACTGAGATTTTACAACAGTTTATCTTGAAGATAATTCGTAAGTAAACTTCAAATGGGGCAGTCTATTCTGTATCGTGCCCAAATACGTAATATGGACTTATTCAATAGGTCCCACAATAGAATGTTGGGATTAAAACGCAAAATTACATTACTTTATTCTGTGATTTTTGTTCAGGATACGATATTCTTGTATTGAATTAACATGAAGTATGCTCAGCATGACATGTAGCATATGATTTGTTGTGATTCTATTATTCATGTGATTCCATCCTAATTAATAATTGGAATAGGTGTACAATCAATACATAAATAAGTGTATTATCGACTAGGGTCGTCGTCGTGTTTTGGGGTTAACAAATCTTCACTTGTACCAGTTTTTGTGTTCTTACTTTTGCGTCGTAGGAATTGCAACGGTTTTTTTCATTTTACAAGTATAAGTGACAAGTGATTTCGACATAACAATTAGCGACAACCGGATATAACAATTCGTGACGCATCGGCGATGACTGTGCCGAAAGTTAGTGCTAGCCAGTAACAGATTGTGGTCTGTGCACAGTTGCAGTAGACGGTCCCCGTTATCTGTCTTGCGACCAAAAAGTCCCCATCGGCCACCTAAACGACTCTCTTCTGTGCCTAGACGCCTGACCTGAGCATTCAAGTCTCCGGTTAGTACTACAATATCTGTCAAACGCACTTTCTGAAGAACAGATAACTGGTGGTAAAACTCATCCTTGATTGCATCCGGGCTGCAATCTGTCGGAGCATAGGCGGAGATGACGAAAAGACATTGTTTCTCACGCCGATTTCTTCTCCCTTTGATGGACCTCTCTAATCTAACAGCACATAACTGACTGTTAATGGGGATCCAATCGATTAGTGCTGCCTCAGCTCTAGCGCTTAGTGCGATGCCAACGCCAGCAAGACCAGACGAAGATGCCACAGGGTCCCCTGATAAGCACATGGCCATACCAGGGCATTTGGGGGCTACCGAAAAAAATGGAAAATAACAACCGAGTGACCAGAACAAATATGTAGCTTGTTTTGACCAATAAATACTTAGTAACAAATAACCTGATATGGTAAAAGACCAGTGTATCTAGCTGAACTGATAATTCTATAACCAAAGATTGCATCGAAAAACACAATCGATAAATTATTTTCAGCTCTAAGGATGATGCTAAGATGAAAATAAAAGTAATGATTTCAAGCGCTTTCATAAACCTTTTTCAAATTGCTTATAAATGCATTATTCAGTGAATAATCCCAAATGCAAGAAAAACATATCTAATATATCAATCTAGATTACACATGTCTAAATTTTGAAAGCAAATAAACTTACGGAAGCTCCCTCTACCAGTTCGGCCAATTGGGTTGCCGAAATTCCAGAATGCTCACTACAGGGTAAGTTTTCAGTTTTTTCATCAACCTGTGATATGGACACAGCACGTTCTGAAGCAGATGCATCAGTAATAATGTCTTGAAAACATGAAAAAGCAAACAATTTGATCTAATATTGTCACACGTCTTAGAAATTAGTGAGCAATACATTGCTGTTTGCGAAGCTCACTTAAAATAAGTAATGAGGAAAAAATACTGAAAAGTTAGATTTTACTTTTACTTTGTTAGTAATTAGAATCGGAATCAAGACCTTTTAAGTTTATGATAACAGCATAGTCTGGTAATCAATACTTACGGCCCTTATGAGACCACTATTTAAAATTGATAATCCACCTGAACCATAAAATGGGCAACAATAAATAAGGACCACTAATAAGTTCCCATTACATAACTTGTCGATAAGTGTATTCACAAATAATAATATAGTAGCTCTAAGAACTATTTATCTGAAGATCACGAAATGATGGCTGTGCAGCCACCTGTATTACATAAGAAGCCCATAGAATGAACGATAAAAAGATCTCAGGCTATTGTGGGAATACATAGTTACTAGTAAATACCTATTTCAATGTCAGAAGATACTTTAGTATCGACAAAGATTAATTTTGTCGTGTTTTCAACACTTTTCTAACCTCATGAAATCATCATATCCGGTTTAGCAAAAGAAACATCTTTGAAAAACTGTCATGAAAACAATGGGAAATCGACACAAACTAATTAATCAATCGACTGATTACAAGAGTTCATTAACATAGGAGTCAGTTTATTCATTTTTGAAAATATAACTATACAAATCTGGTGCGGTAATCATTTTAAACAGGTTCTCCACATAACTCATAAGATTCATTAACTGTTCTATGATCAAATGAATGAGTAAACACTAAGTTATTGCTCTTCTTACGAAAGCTACTAGGCTAACTATTGAGATAGTATGCTAGGAAGAAAACACAAACCATATGGTACTGTCATAAACAAAATAATTGGGTTGCTTTACTGGTTACGCCAACTGAAGATAATGGATAAATTAACCGTAAACGATATCAATATCAAAATCATGACCTAGCTCATGATCTAGCCTAATCATGAACTGTAAACATATTAGAACTAAGTTGAGGAGTAACCAAACAAAGATACGTACTTCGTGAGACTAATCGTAAATATAATGCTAATTGAATTGTAGTGGCTACAGATACTGGATGTCTCGGTTGAAAGTTCAGTTTACTTTATTAGGATAATAAGCCACTGAACTATCTAGTGCAATGTACATACAGAAAAACAAGCAGCTTAGAAAAGAACATCTTACCATTAAATAAAGATAGCTCAGTAAGAGTATTCATTACACGTTGCTTCTCAGTAAATTCGTTGTGAATTTGGTGCATCGTATTTTCTAATTGGCTAGCGGCTTTACCAGCCTTAATAAACAGTTTGTAATTTTCAAAAACTGCACGTTTCATCTTGCTGGCGGCTTCAGAGGATATAATGTTAACTTTTTCCAGCATATTGCTGGTAGCCGTATCTCCATTTTTGGATACATTTTTCGCAACTGAAGAATTCAAAAATATCAGAATCGTTAAGCAAACCAAAGTGATATTCTTTTGCTAAAGTTTCTGGAGTTAAAATTTATTTTCATTAAACACATAAACATAGGTACAAAAAGGCATCAAATAGATATGCGCCACATAAATCATTTGATTTGTGTGAGGGCTAGGATACTGTGCAGGTGTCCAAACCGAAGCAGGTGGTTCTTTTAAGGAATAACACCCCGAGCCTTTGACCTAAAGGTCTAATCCACAAGGCAGTGGAGCAACGTAAGGAGATGCAGTCCCATGGTTGCCGGTGACCAACGATCGGTTCATACGCCCCTGGATCCTGGAGCCCATGTGCACCATTGGTTTGGAATCAGGGTTTTCCAACTCACTTAAGTAGAATGTGTCTACAAACCCGGCCAAGGCGCCGGACATTCGCTTTTCGTTTTCTCAATTCCGTAAATAACATTAATACCGCGAGGAGGCAGTGAGTAGAACTTCCTTGACAGTGGTTGTTTGCACGTGGACGTGTGAGAGCATTTCGAGAGGGCGAGTTAAGTCTCTCCACTCTCGACCGTACCACGGCACTTGGGGGTTAAAAATTATATAAAATAATTACGATTTACAAATAATAGAAATGAGGCCATGTGACAGTTAACTGTCAGTTGGCAGTTCAAATGGTTGTTGACGGAATAGAAGCTTTCGCTTAACAGACTTCCGTGTCTAGTAGGAGGGGATCACCAAATCCTCCAGGCAGGAACCTAGGTATGTTAACAATAAAACAGGGAAAGAAATTGACAAATAATAGTGCAATACTATCCTTAGTCCTTAAGAATAGATCAATTGTATTTGCTTTCCACCCAACTATATAACTAAAGTGATTTTATTCACTAGGATTCCGATAGTTCGGAAGGCTTAAAACTTTAGTGAGATGACAATGCATCCAACTATGTTAGGATATACACTACCCAATCTCCCAAATTAACTTGTGGGAGTTTATAAATTAATAAACTCTGGTATTTAAGGGTTAGAACTAACGAGCAAAGCTTGTAAAAATTTACGGCGGAGAATGATATCTTCCTTACATTTCTCACTGTTAAACGTTGGTTTTGCGAACACTCTCCGAAGACCTCCAATATCCGATACCTCGAACCCAACTACGTTACGCGCCTGATTTGTCTGCGTTGACATTTGTATATATGAAGGTCAATTGTAATTGAAAAGACAGGAGATGATATATTTTATTTTTGTAGATTGTTGTACTTTGCACCTACAAAATGCCGAAAACATATACTCAACCACGTGTTTTAGTAATTCGTGAGTAGGCAGAGGCAACTAACCTTTTTTAGAGGTAAATCCCCAAAATAATTAGCTCCGTGAGTCTTCGAAATTAATTAGTTTTACTGGAGACACTGTGGCTGAAGGCTCTCGGTCACGCATCCTCATCAGATCACGAGTATGTTTGCCATGCTACGTATCCCTTGCGTCCACTTACAGACTTACGCCTGGTACTCCCAATGGAGTATAGGCCGCCGACCAGCATTCTCCGACCCACTCTGTCCCGGGCCTTCCTTTCTAGTTCGATCCAATTTTTTCATTCTTCCCATGTCTGTCCCCATTCCTCGACGTAATGTGTTCCTCGGTCTTCCTCTTCTCCTTCGACCTTGAGGATTCCATGTGAGGGCTCGTCTTTAATGTAATTGGGTACTTTCGTAAATGTGTTTCCTATCCACTTCCAGCGCTTCTTCCTGATTTCCTCTTCCGCTTGAATCTGGTTTGTTCTCTCCCACAGTTGGTTGTTGCTTATAGTGTCCGACCAACGGATCTGAAGTATTTTGCGTATACAACTGTTAATAAACACCTGTATTTTCTGGATGATGGCTTTCGTAGTTCTCCAGATTTCTGCCCTATACAGTAGAACTGTCTTGACATTTGTATTGAAAATGCTGACCTTGGTGTTGATTCCCAATTGTCTTGAGTTCCAGATGCTCTTCAGTTGTAAATATGCTGCTTTTGCTTTTCCCATCCGCTCTTTCACATCTGCATCAGATCCACCGTGTTCATCAATGATGCTGCCCAGATATGTAAAGGTTTTTACATCTTCCAAATCTTCCCCGTCAATTGTGATTGGATTGGTGCATGCCATGTTGTATCGGAGAATCCCACTGTTCACTTTAAGTATGTTGAGGCCTACTGCTGCTGAGGCTGCTGCTACACTGGCCATCTTCTCCTGCATTTGTTCTTGCGTGTGCGACAGGTGAGCCAGATCACCTGCGAAGTCTAGATCGTCCAGCTGCATTCTAGCTATCCACTGTATCTCATGTTTCCCTCCAGATGACATCTTCATGATGCAGTCGATCACCAGGAGTAAGAGAAGGGGTGAGGGAAAGCAACGTTGTCTGCCGCCGGTCTTTACCTCGAAAGAGTTCATGAGCTGTCCTACATGTCCTACATGATTTAATCCATTATAGGAATTCCGTATGATATTGACTGTCTTCTGAGGCACGCCGTAGTGTCGAAGAAGTTTCCATAGTGTTGTTCTGTTCACGATATTAAATGCTTTTTCCTAGTCAACGAAGTTGATATAGAGTGATGAATTCCATTCATTTGATTGTCTCACAATGATCCGTAGCGTTGCGATTTGGTCTGCACACGATCTATCCTTAGGGAATACTGCATGTTCGTCACGAAGTTGAGCGTCTACGCAGTCCTTCATCCTGTTTAGCAATACCCTGTTGAAGACTTTTCCAGGTATTGAAAGAAGAGTGATGCCCTTGTAGTTATCACACTTGCTGAGATCGCCTTTCTTCGGTGTTTTGATCAGGAGTCCTTCTTTCCAGTCTTTTAGTATTTTTCCTCATCCCAAATCTTATTGAGGAGAATGTTGAATATCCTTGCACTTACTGTTACGTCTGCTTTCAGTGCATCTGCTGGAATTTTGTCTGGCCCTGCTGCTTTGCCACTCTTGATTTGTCTGATGGCCATGCTGATCTCTTCGATTGTTGATAGGCCAACATCGATTGGGAGGTCCGTGAGTGTTTCGTGCCGATAGGTAACCCTCGTGCTATTGATAGAAGAAACCAGACCAGTAGTGAATAGGTCTTTATTTCGGTCTTAGCGCAGTCACAGTGGAGCGTGGGCTTATCTGTTCAGACAAACATATTTACGTTTTTCAGTTCTGATGCTCCCCTTCACTCGCTTGTTTACTTCTGTGTATTCAGTCTTGGTTGGGTCTGCAGATGACTCATTGGCTCATCTATGGGCTGTGATATACTAATCGGCTGTAGTGTAGTTGTGCGGTGTGTTGGGGATGGCAGCTTCGCATGCGTGCCTAGACCTTCGAGCTTTGTTGAGTCTGGTCAGCTCGTTACTAGCTTCGGCTGGTTGGCTGATGGCTTGATTTTGTCGCGTTGGCGGTTGCGTGTGTGGTTTGCGTTAGGCCAATAGTCTGTGGTGTAGTGGTAGACGATCTCCCCGACCCGTCTTGAAACACGGACCAAGGAGTTTGACATGTTCCCGAGTCATCGGGTGTTACGAAACCCAAAGGCGAAGTGAAGGTTAATGTTCGGCTTGTCCAGACTGAGGTGAGATTCTGTTGTCTTGCTCGTACTTTTCAAGTTGCGAACAGCGGGGATATCACCGGCCCGTCCCATGACGTAGATATGTGATCTCGTGTTGTGTGCACCGTTTAGGAGGAGCAAGAGCGCACACGTTGAGACCCGAAAGATTGTGAACTGTGCTTGTGAATGTTGAAGCCATAGGAAACTCTGGTTGAGGACCGTAGGGATTCTGACGTACAAATCGATCGTATAACGTGAGTATAGGGGCGAAAGACTAATCGAACAATCTAGTAGCTGGTTCCCTTCGAAGTTTCCTTCAGGATAGCTGGTATTTTGAGCAATAAACAGTTTTATCTGGTAAGATGAATGATTAGAGGCATTAGGGAGAAATCATCATCAACCTATTCTCAAACTATAAATGGGTGAGAAGCTTAACTCGCTTAATTGGAGTTTTGTATTGAATGTGAGTGCCAAGTGGGCCATTTTTTGATTAGTAGGACTGGCGCTGTGGGATGAACTGAACGTTCGATTAAGGTGCCTAACGTGACGCTCATGCGATACCACAAAAGGTGTTGGTTGGTCTAGACAGCAGGACCGTGGCCCTGGAAGTCGGAAGCCGTTAAGGAGTGTGTAACAACTCACCTGTCGAATCAACCAGACCTGAAAATTGACGGTGCTTGAGCGTTGAACCTATAACGTACCGTTGCTGTAAGCTGGGCCTATGCTATGTGAGGACAGGCTGCACTTGGTTCAGGCATGGAGTAACGGCAACGAGTAGGCGGGTCGCCTTGGCTAGCGGGAAGCCTAGGGGAAGCAACCACAGGCGAAGATCTTTGTGTTTGTAGCAAATATTCAAGTGAGTACCTTGAAGGCCGAGGTGGAGAAGGGTCCCATGGAAAAAGCAGTTGACCATGGGTCAGGCGGTCCTAAGTGATCCGGTAAATCGGACCAGGGACGGGGATGCCTGACATTGTCCTTTTGAGGGCTTTGTTCAATAATCTGCAAAGTACTGTTGCATTGCAGCCCCCTGTAGCAAAAAGGAATCGGGTTAATATTCCACACCCTGTCCACGGAGATCGGTGCGTGTCGGAAATTTGGTACGTCGTGCGCCCAGCGCGGTAACGCAGCCGACCTCGGAGACCTCGTTGAGAGTTCTGGGAAGAATTCTCTTTTCTTTGCTAGGAGTGCATCCACCCCCGGATAATCGGCTTGTTCGGAGATAGGGGGCTAGCCTTTGTAAAGCAATACCATTTTTGTGGTGTCCGGAACGCTCTTCTCAGCTATTGAAAATCCGAGCGAAGCAGCATAATTTTCGTGGCAGGCCGTACCCATATTCGCAGCAGGCCTCCAAGGTGAACAGCTTTTGGCGATTCGACAATTTAGGTGATAAAAATCGGCAAACTTCGTTAGAAGGATTGGCTCTGAGGGCCGAGTCAGACAGGCCGAGATCAGATACGTGTCGGTCCAGTCGGGGGTTGATTTTTTTGCTGCTTTGCGTGCTTCGGTGCGCCTTGTGATTAAGTTACTAGACTCTGACCCGGGTCAGTTGTGGGGGGTTTCAGCTGTTAGTGTCATGCAGCCAGCACGTCGCGTCAAGCAGCTATACTTCAATGGTCTGACGCGCGATGGCTAACTAAGAAATGACACGGACCTGAAGGATCCGACTGTCTAATAAAAACAAAGCATTACGGTGTCCACTGATTGGTTTTGACGCAATGTGATTTATGCCCAGTGCTCTGAATGTCAAATTGAAGAAATTCAACCGAGCACGAGTAAACAACGGGAGTAACTAGCACTAGAGACATGTGCACTAGTGTACTTTATCGCCCAATAGACGCTTGCAACACGTCTGCAGGCAACCATGTCAACCATAACAATTTTATTTCAAACCCTAACACTTTCACCAGTGGCAACTCTAAGAGCAGTCAAATGGGACACAACCTCAATCAAACTATTCACGACTCATTACCGTACAAATATCTAGTTAATGTACCAGTGAATCCCGATTACTAAATTACAAAACTGTACACAAACCATCTGCGATCATTCCTCTTAAGCTAAAACGCTCAAATACTTTTGAATCTAAATCCAGTTCCACCTTTACAGTTCCCCATTATTACTCCAGAGGCTTCGATAAAAGTTCAAAAATACTTAAAATGTCCTAGAAACTGTTATAATATCTGTAGCTACTCGATCACGGAAATGCGAAATAACAATAAACCCTCTGGGGAGACCCACAAGGAATGCAGCACACTTAGCTCACAACCTGCATCTGTCGACAGCACTAGATGACCCTAAAACAAACACTATGAACTGACAACATCCATTCATTCTAATGCTAGACTATACCTATCTAACATCACGCCTACTCATGACAACAGTAAGCTACTTTGAGTGAGTATTGAGATCTCCAAGAATCAGAACACAACCATACCCAATAGAAACATCTCTCTTAACAATAGTCTCAGATAATGTTTCATTTCTAACCCGAAACACACAACGTGCTTAGCTACCCATAACAGGGCTGTAATGATCCAAAGTACTCAAGAAAGCTACAGAATTAGCCTATTCGGGGGTGATCTTATCCGCAACGCAACCATGTAAACTTAATGTATCGGTCATCTGTGCGTCCAAGTAACCACAGATTTTGTCATTTCATAATGTATTTTTAATTAAATAACTAGATTATATAGCTAATTTTGATCTTTTTATATATTTTTATTCGCCACGTTCGACTGCATTACATTGCACGTCCATTGCATACTGATGATATCTCAAGTCATAGTGAGTTTATTCACATAGTTGATTGTTTCCAGATAGACTGTCAGTGCATGATTTTACTGTAGAAAGGTTTATTGTACTATAAACTATGTTTTTATGAACAACTGACTGTTGTCTTCAGCCGGAAAGCAATATATATATTCTTTGTCTTCTGTTAGGCAAGTTCAATTGGCCTATATTTCGTGTTTTTGTTTTATCGTCTTAATTATGTCCATTTAACTACTTTAAGCAATTTGCCTGTGCAAATGAAACAATAACTATGACATTTGCTTAGTTTAGTATTCTTGGTGGTCGTATAATTCAGTTTAGTTGAAAGAATTATGGTATACTTAAATATAGTGCTTGAAGCCTGTAACGAAACAGATCAGTCTAGTAAGTAGAGTTGCCTGTTTCTGATGAGTATACTAATTCAAATCAGTCTGATTAAAAATAGGAAAAAAGTGCTTTTGGTACTGTTGCTGTCATACATTATAAGATAGCGATAAGTATGTTTGGTGTTTATTTCTAGATTGCACATCTATCACTGACCATATTTTATGATCACTGTCATTAAACAATTTCCCCAGCAATAACAGCGGTAGCAGGATAGCTAAGTGTGTAAGCTCTTATTTTCCCGCAGAAGAGCAGTATACAGTCTTAGTAGATGAGTGTTCTGTATCTCAATTAAATGCAGTTGGCTGTGGACAAATGTTAAGAATCTTTTTGACAACTAGGACTTTTAGTTCATCAAACACTAACTCTGATTGTATGTCTCCCTGTTAAACTAGATGCAGATACATGGTAATACTTAAATGAGAGAAAAATAATAAAAGCATTGAGATACGGTATTAAGTCTATGTTATGCTTTGCACAAGTAATAGCTGACCTGACCTAATATTCATGAACTAAAGGTAAATCACAACTGCATAAATTCTTTGCTAAAAAAACATGTAATATGGTTATTTATCTATTCCACATTTCTGACTAAATTCATTACTATTTTCTCATTTAGAATGCAACAGGACTGAGTCTTCACAGATCCTGAGAACTGTTTCGCCCTTAGAACTATGGCCCTATGGATCTGTTTACGGGAGACTCAACTAACAGTAGATTATAAAAAGGATGCTGGGTGTCCATTTTAATCTCACAACCACTTCCAGTACTTTTTGAGTTACTTCTTTTACCCTTTCGTTTGGAAAAAACAACAAAAACTGCAGCTTAACATTACCAATGCAATTTTTAGACTGGAACTTGGTTTAAACCTTTTTTTCATATTCGATTCTTAACGAAAGTTCACGAATAAATTTTTGAACCTAGTGCTACTTTGTTTTATCTACTTAATCGTTGCAAGAAACTTGTGATAATCGAGCCTCTCATCACCTAATTCATATGTTCAGGCTTCCGTGTCTAGTAGCAGGGAATCACCAAAACCTCCAAGCAGGAACCTGGGTATGTTAACAATAAAAGATTCAGTCGCCTCCCAAAGGACTCCTGGGAAGTCGCTTGGACTAGTTCGGCGGGAAGCGAATTCCAGCATTCGACAACTCTTAGGGAGAAGTTGCGTCTACAGCCCATTCTGTTATGTCGTGTCTCTAGTTTCTGAAACTAAGCTCAAGTAGGTGTTTAAGAGAATGTCCAGAAGTGTTAAGGATACTGTAAGTAAATAGGTCACCTCTAAGACGTCTATACTTTAATGAGTAGAGGTTAAGTGATTGGAGGCGCTCTTCATGAGGTGATTTGGTTCATATCTCCGTCATTTTCTTGGGAAACCTACAGGCTCGGGTCCTCTCACCACTTATTCTAGCCACCATGAGTTGCCACGAAAACTGATGGACGGACACGTGTTACACATCCTAACCGTCCCTGCGTCTAATCTCATAGCTTCTTATTCAAATGTCATGATAAGCAAGTAATGCTTCTACCGACACTAATGGAACACGAGTAATTCAAAGGCACCCTGTATGGTACTTTACATTGGTCTACCCACTAACTTAGCTTTTTAGTGAGAATATTACTACAGTTCTGCTAAAAAACCTATGAACCGACCTATCTCCATCAAAACCAATATGTCTGTATTTGCTGCATATATGATATTTATTTTTCAGAAGATATAACAGTTAGAATTGGAGTAAAATGGCAGTATACAGCAGATGCACGTGATGCATGTCTTCATCGATTAACTGAAATAGAGAATACGGATATTAGCTTGACAGGCTTATTAAGAAAAACTAGTGTCTACTTTGAACTTACTGCGTGAGAAAGTTATGCCGGAACTATTTAAAATGTAGGAATCTATTCCCCAAGTGCGTACGAAGCGCTTAAACTGGAAGACAGTTGTCCAAAAATAATTCGAATATGAAGGTGAAAATTTGCAGGTACTTTTCATCGTAAAGGCGAACATATTAGGTACCGGTTGACATTATACTGTGAAAAGACACAAATTTGTGAGTGGTGAATTATGATCTATAAAAAAGTGGGCTTAACAGTTAATTACCTTTTTACTCCCTGACAATGACCCTTCGGCTTCATTTTATGGCAAAAACAGCAAACATACACTACACACTGATAGAAGATTTCCGGCTTTTCAATGTTAAGCTTGCTTTAACGCACTACGTAATGCGTACAACCCCTCCATTACTGCTATGTGGCATATTTTTTCATAACAAACCCTCTGCAATAGATTGGTAGCATCTGTGACTTCGTCTATGGTTGTCGGAAGCCTGTGTACTTTCGAAAACAATACTGACATCCCCTACGGCTAGGCACTAAGTATTAGTTTGACTCGTTGGTGGGATATTTTTGTCCGCAATACTGAAGAAAATTAAAAACCGGAAATTGTTTCCTTTCATTTCGCCGATAACATCATAAAGGACAGTTAGGAATGAACATGCGGACAGTTAGTCACAGGAGGCAGCAACAGTTATTTCAGCTAAGAGAAAACGAACTTCGGCTTTGGATATCCTGAAAACAAGTCAAAACAAAACCGATTTCCATTTTTTAAACATAAGACTAATCAGCTTGACTGAAGAAATACATTGACTAGAGTAGAAGCAGCAAAAAACAATGCTGATTCGAAGTAAATTTCACACCAACATGTAGAACATTACACTAACTGCGGCATCTTAGCACATTGAAACATTAATTACATAGCTACACAATAGAAATAGCTAAAAGAAGCACAGAACGATGAAAGCCGGCCGCCATTACGTACAAAGATGGCGGATATAATAATTCCCGCCACATTCTGATTGGTTGCTAAGCTGAAAAGCACATTTACGAAATTGAGTTGCGTTTAATTGCAGCCCTATTCGGCCACCCACTTGGTGATTCTAGACACTTTCTGAGTCTAGAAGCCCTACGAAACTCTTTGTTCTCCTCAGTTCGACATAAACTCCACCTCGCACATTTTTGTTTCCATCTCTTGATAATGTTTCTGAGAAGTCTCGAGGGCGATGATCCCACTCTTTTGAGACCAGTCTTTATACGCTCCGACCTAAAGAGGAGTGATATATCTTTCTCTTCATTGATGACTGTCCTCCATCTTAAAGGCTCTTTAATTAAACCTACTGGCCACTCTCAAAATACCCTATTTATCCATTCGACCCACTCTAATCCACCTGTCACTCCTAAACATATTTCTTTCCCCAACCTACCATCTGACCATTCTTCTCCCACCATCCATATCGAAACTAAGACAAACGAACATGAATATTGGCCTAGTACCCCCAGTTCTCCCTTTTTTTCTCATGACAAAACAAACAACCCACTATATTTACATCACACCCTTCTATTGGATCTCATATAATAACTATTAACATCAACTAAGTTATTAGTTCTGGTGCACATAATACATGGGCTTTTTTGGTATACAACAATATCACCTCAAAATACTAGTTCTAATCTTTGATTTTTGTCCCCCTCAAAATACTACACACAGTCATTCCTAACGAATTAAATATTTTGTTTGCTCACACCAAGAAATAACTCCTAGGTTAAATGTAATGAATGAAAGGAAAGCGCCAATTTGACGTCGATTGGTGTCTTCGTTTGTTGTGGGAGATGTCAGTTTGTTAATTAGCTAAAATACACTATGATATTATGGATGACAGTGGAAATAATCTTCACAAAAAACAGGGTACCAGGTTAGTATGTAGCGGTTCTTCTTTACTTCTTAATTATAGGGTCTTCAAGAAAAGCAGCCCAAATGGAAAAGTAATGGTGGTTTTAACTGTATTTTCTCGTAGATCACAACATACTTGTGCAAAAGGGATTTCATCGACAGTCTAGCAGATGTAGATCCGATTGGTGAGGCCTGTGTAATCTATTTGAGTTTAATATGTGTTTCGAATTCGGAATGATTATTTCGAAATATACTTTTATGTGTTATGTGAACAAATGACATGTTAACAGTCTTTATATCAAGCTTGTAGTAGCAGTAAATTTTCGTTCTACTTTCTACATGTCTGTAGTTACTTATTACAGTTTTGCGGTGTCAGAGAAACCACATATTTTTGGATGTTACTTGCTGAACTCATATATTTCAGAACCTCATTCCAACCGAATTTTATTTCGAATAATATATTATTCTGTAGCCAGTGTTTTTTGACTTCATCTGGTTGCAGGACAACTGCACTTCTAAATTCATATGTGCAATCGAAGTGGCTTATTGAGGGACCGTTTTTGGCTATAATTGAGATACTGGAAGGTGGATACAAAGATATTTTATCAAATGTTTTCCTTGAATTATATCAGACAACAGATTATGACGCTTTATTTCTGCATTACAGACATTTACATTTTGGACTCTTAGTTTCCTCACATGAATATTAAAAGTACTATAGTAATATAAGCATAGCTAGTCATATTAGTCAAACAGAATGTACGAAATCGTAATTTAAAGTTCACGTGATTTATATACAATTCCTACTTTTCAGAGGGCGTCGTATTGGTTGACCCAGAGTATGTCAAGGGACGGAAGGTGTTCACTCACGTTTTATCAGCATTTCGTTATGGACGTGAAGATTTGGATGTACTTGGGTTGACTTTCCGCAAGGATCTCTATCTAGCCTCAGCTCAAGTTTATCCTCCAGTTTATGCATCCGAATCCGATAACTGTGGAAGGGTTCTATTAAATCCAGCAAGTACAGCTGTTTGTGGAAATTCTAAGCCTCCTGGTCCAGAAGTTTCTGAAGGGACAGACGATAATTTACATTCTGGTACTCTTCCGCTGACAAGACTACAAGAACGTCTGATTAAAAAGTTAGGAAGTAATGCCTTTCCATTTTACTTCAAGGTAAGCTTTTAACTTTGATTTATTTATATTTTGTACCAAAAATAGTCCCTAGGCACCAAAGTTAACTTGCCAAATTTTTTGCAACAAGAATGTCAAAATAACTCAACTATCAAAAAGTTTTGCATATAGTAGTTGTGTGTTTGCTCAGTAATAAAAGCAACAAACTAAATAGAAATGGGAAGACTCACCGAAAGAAGCGTCTTGATTGTCTGAGAAAGTGCAGTTAACTAAAAAGCGTTTGGTTGACCTATTACAGATTACTGGAGTAAATAAATGTATTTTTGCAACACAGCTTGGAAAGTGGGTTTTGATAAGATGATAATTGCACACTTTATGTTCCCAAAACATTTCTGACAAAACGTTTACCTTTACAAACTTTAAGTCAAACTCATGAACATCTTTACTGAAATTACATACGATATTGTGCATCACGATTAAATGACAATTGGCATAAAATGGATTAACAAGCCAGCTGTTTACATGGTATGAATTCAAAATTGTGTTTAATGAGGGTATTTGTGGAGAGGTTTAGTACCATCCCTTCCATAGACCATAGACGTTGGGTGTTATGGGCTAATTACAATGGCAAAGAAACACTCGATTTTTTTCAACCAGTTCTGAAATCTGCCTAAATTCAGTTTCCGTATATTTATGCAGTGATTTTATAGACAAACTTAGCTTTCGTTTACTATCTCGTCAACCATCAACTGGTTCACGTTAAATATATTTAGTGTGGAGAAATATGAGAATTGTGTTGGTTGAATAACTGCTTTTTAATACAAAGCCACCAACTATTCTTTCGGATCATGAGTAAAACTTGCCGTTAAATTCACAAAGATGTTGAATATACATCTTTTTGTACAACATTTGTTTTGACAAAATACTTAGTGGGTATTCAAAAATGATTTAAAAAGTTTGGGGCGCGATATATACTTCATGTTTGTGAAAGCAGTTCACTGGTATTGGACAATGTTTTGAAATGCTTGGTAATATTTTACTAACGAGACTATTCAAAATTTTGGTAATCGTGTTTCTAGAAGAGATATTTAACTCAAACTGTTATGCTTTTCAAAATAAAAAAGGATGCATTACAGTGTCAAACAAAACACATTGTTCACTGTTTTGTAATTTAGTATTTTTACACGAGTAAATTGAGGAATAATGGAAAAGATTTCTGATGATTATGGACGTTTGTATACAAAGTGGCTTTGAATAAGAGAAGACAGGATCTATTACTTGAAATAAACAATAAACCTCCTGAAGTTTCCTCGTTTCGATTTCTAAACTTGTGTTCAGACATTGAAAAATAAACTTTTATCTTATGTTACAGTCAGTTATTTCATACCATTTATCCTTTAGGATATTTATCAACTCGTGTTGTTTCGTTTTGCATACATTTATTTGTTAAAGCTTCCTGCAGACGCACCTGCTTCAGTTACACTTCAGCCAGGTCCGAATGAGAACGGCAAAGTAAGCAAGACAAATAATTTGCTTTCTATTGCAAAGTTTGCTTGAGGTTTCTACATATCCATTTAACTTTAATCCATTTATGAATAAGGAGTATTAACTACAGGAATAGAAAATTTACTTGCACTATGGTAATAAACCGTCTCAGTGGTATCTATCTTGGAGCAAGAAAGTTCGTGTTTTACAGTGTCATTAATTTAATTTCTGAATCCGATGACTTTATAGACGCTATAGTACGAATTGTTGGCAGTGAATGTGTTACCAATGGCTTTATCATTTTATCCAGCGCATTGTGTTTAGTTGCTTTGATAGATGGATATCCCATTGAATTTTCCTTGTTGGTTGTTGTACAAACATTATTCTCCGTTTTATAATGAAGTCGTTGAAGGCGCAAATAATTTCATGTTGTTCATAATAAATTGTTTAGGGATATAAATAAATATATTCTGGTCAGACGAAGTTTCATTATGAAAATTGTTTTCTTGAACTGAAATCTATTTCTTTTGTCTAAACTACATTTATCACCATAACCGAGCCTTAGCAAATTACCTACAAATCTGGTCTACTTCATATGCCTAAGTGATATTCACTGTAGTTTTATAAATGTTTCAGGTACTATCGAGGATATGGTGCTTCTGATTATAAGATTAATTCTAAAGTTATTATGATTTTATCCTGACCGATTACCACAGTCATCGAATCGCAATATGTAATGCATATGAATGGTGTTTATACCAATTGACTACCGCCCTAAGTACATCAAAAAGTCAGAACATAGCCATTTTGTGATGCCCTACTGTTAGTGTCTTCTTGACACAACACAATCACAAAACCTAGTGTCTCCGATGATCAAGTTATCAAGTGTCTCGTGAATATTCATATGAATATTTAACGTAATTGTGTCAGGCAAGTTTTATGTAACGAATCATGACATCATGAAACGAGCTTTATCATGTCATCAGTCCATACAATTTAAAAAGATCTGCCAATAGATTCATATACTTATATTCAAAAACTAAAATCGTCGATATGAATTATTAATAGTATGAATCTAATGTTGACACAAATCGTCGACAAGTGTTAATGTAAATCTTTCGAACAGAATAGAAGTGTTAATTATCTAATTTCCATTTAATATTCTAACAACATTTTCCTGTAACATAAATGATCTCAATCAAAAACTTAATGATCTCCACAACCCCTATACTAGTAATCAACATGTGCTCACTAGTAACTAGCTTCGTGAGGGAATTCTCGGAGTTCTAGTGAGAAGCCGTGACCAGTGGAGCTAGTCCATGTCGGGTAGAGACAGGTATCTACCTCAGTACAATGGAAGTTGGTCGCGCAATTTCGTGGATTGGTTGATGTTAGACACTATCACCATTGGATGCCGGCTCAGTGGTCCAGTAGGTTAAGCGTTCGCGCGCGAGACCAAAGGCACTGGGTTCGACTCCCACGAGCGGGATCGGGGATGCGCACTGCTGAGGAGTTCCACAATAGGATGAACTGGCCGTCTAGTGCTTCCAAGTTTTGAAAGGTGGTTTAATATCAATTGGTTCATGATCTCAATCAAAAACCTAATAATCTTCACAACCCCTATACTAGTGGTTTTTAATTGTAAGTGAAATGTTCTTTCCATTATGTGATATAAATTCAGTATTAGTTCACAGGTAATTTCAAAATATCCTCGTACATGGAAGATTTCTGAAAATATTATAATGATTTCATTTGTACTTTAAACGCTTTTTTGATGAATAAATTCAATGCCCATTGCTCAAAGTACCTAAATGTTATTTAGTGAACAGATAGATATTCAAACCAAAAACCATTTAAATCTCCATTCTTTTTTAACTTTTGATTGAAATGAGATTATAATATTCGTGTCAGCTAGTTGTTCTCAGTATAGAGCATGGGATGTGCTTTGATGGATGCTACCATATGATATTAGCACAGCAAGATGAAACTAACAAGGTGGATAGCAAATGAGATCAAGGCACTCTAGTGGCACTAACAATAAGAAAAAACGGATCATTTGAAATGTGGTCGGAGAAGACAGGGATCAAAAAGTTACATAGAAAAGAGTAATGGAATAAAAAATGAAGAGGAAATTAAAGAGTCGATATATCTACGCCACTGTGACCGATCCTGAGACATGCAATCCAAAGTCCTCTAATTATTTTCATTTAAACATTTATGCACTTGTAAATTATTCAAAACTGTGATTTTTCATTGTATAATTCAAAATAATAATTTATTTTTCTAGCCATGTGGTGTAGACTATGAACTAAGAACTTATGTGGCTGAGACATCGGATGATAAATTACAAAAACGGTAAGTTATGTATTATTTTTGGAAATAAAGAATTAACAATTTTATTGATTGAAAAGTTAAAACAAAATAAACCAGAAAAAGTTTGATAAAATTATAAAACCTGATCAAGTATATTATATGTTGAGTTATGACTGGCAGTTAACCGTTAGCTTGAATATCTGGGCCACCTGTTCTTGCCATCTAGAAAAACAACAAGTTAACTGTCTTTTTGCTTGTTTTAACAAATGGTAATGTCTACTGATCGCATAGCCTATTCAGGCGCGTTTATGAAAAGTTTGAAACCTTTCACTGTAAAATTTGCAAAAAAAGTTCAATCAGAGACATAATCGTAGCTGACCATATGCACTGAAATAATTGAAATTTATTCAGATGTCAATTCTTGAACTGTTAATATTTAACTGGCAGCCACTTAATATTTATCGTCAGAATCGATCAAGAAATAAGAAAAAGAAATTTTATCAGAATGGGTTTTGTGGAGATTGTTTAAAAATTTCACTGGTTGAAATCATGAGTCAACTGAAGCTAGACCACCTTGGTAAACCTGGAAGCACTGGACGGCCGTTTCGTCCTTGTATGGGACTCCTCAGCAGTGCGCATCCACGATCCCGCACCCCGCATGATTCGAACCCAGGATGCCGGCTCAGTGGTCTAATGGTTAAGTGCTCGTGCACGAAATCAGTAAGTCCTGGGTTCGAATCTCGTAGGCTGCGGGATCGTAGATGCGCACTGAGGAGTTCCATACCAGGATGAAACGGCCATCCAGTGCTTTCAGGTTTTCCGTGGTGGTCTAGCTTCAATTGACTCATGATTTCAACCAGTGCAAAAGAAATCTGTTGAAATAATTTGTCCTGTCTATATTGTACTAGAAATATAATGTTAAATAAAGCCATTAATAATAATAATAAATCAATATTGTATAAGTCCTATTTTATGATTAAAAATGAGTTTTCGAACCCATATTTTTTGTTGTTGTTGTTGTATCAAGGTATATTTTAATTTTTTCTTATCTTGTGAGAAATCTGTTTAACAAAGAACAATAGTTATTTATTGAAACTATTCATCTAAACATACAAAATTAATCTTTAAAATGATTAGTTTATAATTCTTTATTAATTTTAGTAATATTCTCATTTGAATATGAATACTTGTTTCGTTTTTTTTGGAATGATCTACTTCTAAATAAATTAAATGTCTTCCGACTTAATTGTTTGCATTTCTCTCAAAATAACAATATATGATAATGATTAACAAAATAGTTTTGAAAAATGATAGGTTTATTTGAATGAATGAATGAATAAATAAATAAAAAGGCGGAAAATATTAAAAAAGTAACATGGTTTTATACATTAAGGAATTTTTCTGAAAAAAGAAAGATTCTGATAATATTTGTTGCCTAGTTTTTATTTATATGATGGTGGTAAATTCTTTTATTTGAACTAAGGTTTATTAGTTCTTTTTTTCATAATATAAATGAATAGTTAATGTCTAGTTTGGTGTGTATTAAGTATGTCATATATAATGCTGTTTAGTATTAGTGTACAGACTTTTTCTGATTTATTATTAAATCAGTTAATGTTAGGTTAATTCTTCTGATACATTGATAAGAGCTGAAACTAGAGAAAGATGATTATGTTGTTTAGCAAAATTAATCATTGTTTGGTCAGAGGTAGTCGACTGGAGACTATTTATTCAAGTCTTATATTCTTTGGCACTCGTTATAAAGGTATACCTGTAATATTGACAGAACTAGTTTTCGCTTACGAGTTCGATACAGTTTCATCATGCTTCACAATTTTAGACGCGTTTCAAAGACTACATAAACATGATATCAATCACTACTTAGTAATCAACTGTAAAGTTAATTGCTGTTTGAATTACTTTTTAACCAAAAAACATTATTGCACAACAGTCCTTACAGAAAGAAGCATACAGATTCGAGAGTGCTAAAGACTTATTTTTTCTTGGCTTAGGACGTTTTAAAAGGACACACTCATGTTTCATGGATAAGATAATGCTATTGACTTGGCGAGTTTGAAATACAAAGGTTTTTCTGCTCTGATCAACTGATAACAGTGCCATTTTATCATCAAAATGTCTCTAATAATTACTCAACTCACTGTACATTTATATGATTCTACTGGTTATCATGGTCTTACGTATGTATTATGTTCCGAAATACATAGTATGACTTAGTCACTTTGATTTCATTTATATGATATAAATGATTCCATACGCATAAATTTGATATCTTGTTAGGTAAGGATAATAGATATTCAGTGCACGTAAGCTGTTTGAGGCGAGTAGGTGATCGTATATCTTTCGTACATTTATTGTAAAAACAATTTAATCAACTGTAAAAATGTCTTCTGAACACATTTTTGGTGAATTCGGTAAGCATATTAAAGTAACGTTTCAATATAACGAACAGGAAACATAAGTAATTCAAATAAAGCAGATCGCAAATTGAGTGTCATCATAAATTGATAACAAGTGGAAAACACTTGGGAAATAGGGAGCACCAGATAGTTGTTTAACTATAGTGTAAGGCTCCTAAGCAGATAGTACGCACAGGAATCGGTCTGAAGACCTTCAGAATTCGCTACGAGTTCATTATCTTTAGACTGACAAGTTGAAGTTTGGTGCTACAGATTTTTACTTTAAAACAATTTACATTGTAAAGCGACATCAATCAACGATAGTGGATGACGTGGTTTCTCTTCACTAGTCATTTCTCATTAGGACTCCTTAAGTTTAGCTAAAAGCTAGTCTTTTAAGAGTGTTCGATTGATGTTGAGTAGACTTAATAAAGATAATGTAATATTACATCGGTAATTCAAACAACTTTTAGTATTAATTTGATCTCCTTTAATGTATCCCTCAATTCTAATTCAGTTTCTTCATTATCTATTTACGGTGGCTATAAGTATGGAAATGCGCGCGTGTTGCATTTGTACATCACACATTTTAAAAATTTTTCGTTTATGTAGACGTCTGTAGCATGAAAAGGGACCTTCGAACTAGTGATATTAATATTATCCTTTTACATATTCAGTTGAATATATTATACCATACAATAAATGTCTTTTACCGTGGATTGTATGTCTCATAATAATTTCTCTATTCTATACAATGTCCATTTAATACCAATGCCTGTTTCGACTAGTACACTAGTTTTAAAGGTCTTGTTTATTAGAAGTTGAAAATATCATATTTAATTTTACTTAATCTATGTTTTTTTATAGTTTTAATGATTTTAAAAATACTAGTGAAATCATAGAGAAGTGGTGTGATTCATCACTAATTTTATGAATATTTTATAGTGTCTACTTGAATGTCAATTCGTAGGTGTGTAACTGTTCAATGCTCGACACAATATCAAAATTATGTTTTATCAAGATTAGAATATGTTATTTGAAAAATGCTTATATAGTTTACAATTACTTACAATAAATGAGGGAATGTTTAAGTACTTTGTAGTGTGTATTCACTTCTTGAAGTATTTTTATCATTTTATCTTAACAACAAGAAAAAACGTATCCACCATGAAATCCATCTTACAGAACATTTAATAAAAGTGGACTTTGTTGTTCAGCATACTGTGAGACAAAACATTAATAATTTTTCACATATCTGACTACTACCGATCACTTAGCTGTACTATGATTGAACTAAGTTGGAGAAGAACTATAGGCTACCAGATCAATAAATCCCATCAGTATATGAAGTCGATGACTATTAGTCCGAGCTGTGTTTACAGATGCGAGGGTCCTTGTTTCTTGTTCATCATATACTTTCGTATAGATGTGAAATATAAAAACTTGCACAGATACACATAATGGGCTGTGCATATGTCAGGAGATTATTTCAAAATACTAAAAGTCATATAATTGTAATGTACGAATAATCTTAAATATCAAAATCCAATTATAGAAAATAATAATATTTAGGCCTTAGATGACCGCTGAGAACCAGAAAACACCGGACAAATGTTTTATTCTATTGCAGGACTTCTTGGATGAGCAAATCCACAACCCTGCTTCAGATCTAACCAAAAACCTTTATTCTCGTAGGCTAAAGCTTAAGCTTCAGGCAACATTTCCAGCATCTGATGGTTTACATGTCCAAAGTCAACCAATTCGAAATATTGCGTGACTACCGTGGATTGTCTGCTGTAGATAACTGTCTCACAATTGATATGGTTGAACATCACTGGTTACGGATTCTTACTAGAACTCCAGAAATCGCATCTTGAAGCTAGTCATTAATGAGTATATTACTATTCTTAGTACAATGGGGTTCATGGAGAAATACTGATGAACAATAATGTATATGTAGTTGTAGTGTTTAGATCAATTAGTAGAGAAACTTTAATATGAATAACATTTTCTTTTATAAATTTAAAGTAATATGATAAATGAAATTGTATATTCAAACTATAAATTATGTTGTATTATTCAATATTACCTATTCAAATAATTACAAATGAGTTGTTTGCATAAAACATCAACTCTTTATTCAAATGTAATGATTAGTAGCTATTGTAGATACAATTTTGAATAACTAAGTGAATATCAGTTAAAAGTTCATCTTCTAGTTATTCATAATACACGCTTTCGTTTTTAAAAAGAAACTATGCGAAATTAACTAATTGCTGAATTTCTATTGATCATTTTATTAAAAATCAAGAAAGTCTAAAGCGTATAAAAAAATGCCACATTTAACTGTTAGTATTAATTTGTTTAATGTGTCTAGTAAATACAGAACTTTTGTCTGCATTCAATGAATTACCACTATTTAATTGTTAAGATCTGTATAATAAAGATACAATGATACAATTGGTAAAATAATTTATTTTTCTGAGAAATAAATAGTACCATGTAAAGATTTGGTGTCCAAATACTTATATAATACACATAAATTTTGATACAACAAGACACTATAATAAATATTTGCTACACAAACAAAGAAATGAAATTTTGCCAAAAAAATAAAGAAAAGTGAAGAAGTCAAATGAAAAATAATTCGAGGAACAAAAAGAAGTAAACGAGAGTATCATGTAGTAAAAGATACACTTCAATAAAAAAAGTACATCAGAGAACACTTTTTTTTAAATTGAATGAGATTCTCATATTGTTTTACAAAGAATGTGAAACAGAACTATAGTAGAGCTTCTACTGACTTTTATATCAAGCCATATTTGATTATGTCTCTAGGATATCAACTGGGCAGTGATGATGAACCAACAGATCCTAATCCTGTACAGATCTTTTTCATACCCCACAAACATATCATAAACTGATCTACTTTAGGTTTTTTTCAACCATTCTCAGCGTCGATAAATGTTATGATGTGGAGGTTACTAGGTTGACAGATCCAAGTCAAACAAGCAGGTTTTTCAAGACGGTGACACCAGCCGGAATTATTATCACTATACGAAGATGCATTTTAGAAAATATCCCTATAACTAACATGGTGTTTATACTGAGTACCAGCAACCCTTCAGAGACAATGATGATCAAACATAGATAGTCACCGAACATCGCCAACTCAGAAGGGTCAGGTTTCAAATGAATACAACAAAACTGACTTTGCTGCCTAGTTGTAAACCTGATCTTTTAAGGCCAAATCAAAATCATGAATGCGACAAAGATGGCCTATATTAGCATAAACCGCTTTGACTTTCACTATACGTAGATTTATCTCTTCAATTACGTCTCAACGAATACTCACACGGCTTCACAGACGTTTGCACATCTCAACTTATTCTAACTACTTACTGTCTACGAATATTGGTCGTCAACTGAATAAGTAAGATTTGTATCGTTTGTGTTTCATCGCACAGTAAAACAATGTAATCTACATACACATTATAACGGATATAAATCACTTCCTTTAGAGCTGTTTTCTCAGAATGCCATCAATGTCAGAGTTGGAGAGAAATGATGAGATTGCAACAACCTATTTAACCCAGTTTCTGAAATGTAACAGTGGAGGGAGTTGGCTGCATACTCTTACTTCTCCTGAGGCATTTATGTACAGAGCATTTAAGATGTTACTAAGCTTTTTAGACATCCACTTGTTCAATAGCTGAATACAGAATAAAATCGTGGATTTCTCATACCTAATTATGAACCAGACTGTTTATCTAAAAGTTGACAATACTACCTGAGTGTTCAAATTGAAGTATATGAAACGAAGTCTGAATCTGTAACTCAGTAATTAAAGATGAAAATGATTGCTCTGAACAACTTGTTTTGAAAACGCACTTGGTAAAGTAACATTAAAACTAAATTACTACTATTTTCACTCATGAGCTCGTGATTAATGTTTGAAAACAGATCGATTTTTATTATTTTATTTTTTATCAAGATCATTGTTTCTATCATTCACTGAGTGTATGTACTTATACGTGTGTGTATTGTTTTTTTTTTAAAAAACAAAATTCAATTTGCCAATTATTTTGGTGATAATTGATCATTTCTATAATATGAATTGAATGTTTTTGTTTTTTCATATTAAACTATTACAGCTCATTTACTCCAATTTTTGCAGCCGAATATTTTTATGCGGAGCTATAAGCTACCGCCCGGACAATCAATTACAGTGTAATAAACGGTGAATACTAATATTAATAATAATAATACTAATACTAATAATGATAATAGTAATAACTGCAATTCTTAACAATTAATAATATTGGTATTAATCAGACTAAAAATTACTCTGAGTGTTTTGATTTATACATTTATGGTGATGTTATATTGTAAAAATATCTGAAAATTTTAATGTGGTGTAACCTAAATTATAATAAGATAAACTAACATTTTCTGCTTCCTTATTGATGTTAATAGAACCCCGACGAAAGAAAGAAGTTTTGATTAACCTATGCTTGATTAACTAACTTTTTTTTGAGTGTTTGAAACTGAGTTCGTGCTTCTATTAAAGTGTAATTAACATAAAAGAAATAATAAATAAATGGAAAAATACATAAGAAACAAAATGAAGATGGTTCATTAAAAGAAACATTTGTCTTCAACGAAATTATTTACTTGAGCTGTATACTTGTATGTCGAAGACAAAGAATAAAAGAATAACTAATACTGAAAATTTTCAATAGTGGTAGGAGTCCAAGGATAATAAAATAGAAGACTGAATATGTGATGTTTTCTCACTGAGATCATGCTTGAGTTAATGAATTACTATAGACTCAGCTGTGCACAAGTTTACTGTCTACATAGTAATGCAAAGTAGTGCCCAAATAGACGTCTGGCAAATGCAAACTCTATACTGTTAATATAACATGCAATACAAGATCAAGTAAAGTGGTAGATACAGATCGATAGTAAATGTAACATTTTTTGTGTTTGTTTGAGTGCAAGCAATGTTGAAGTTAGGCATAGGATACTGGAAAACCAGTCGATGACGTAGTGAACCTTTATCGACTAAGGTGACTACGAGAGATTCTATGTATATCTAACCACCGCCCACTCCGATGAGGAATGCTTAGCAATACAAAAATAGGTTGGAAGAAAGGTAGTTGCAATAAAACCAAAAACATGACAGTCTATGAAGTCATTGAGTGTTGGTTCGAAGCATATTGGCAGATGCAGACTGCTTGGGCGAGGTCAGTGTGATAACCATGATCAGTAGCTGGAGACGTTTTGTGAATTCAGAATCGTTTACAGTAACTCAGATATACTCAATTTTATTTTACTGTCGATTTTGTGTTCCGATACTCCTTCATGTATACTTTCCCAGTGGATTTTTGAACCCTTTTCTTTTTTAACCGTGATTGCTATTACGTTGTTTTGATCACTTTTGCTATTCATTCGCCTAATTTCATTTCATCGTGCTATTGTGGTATGGAAACTTGAAGCCACTAAACTTTGATAATGACTGACTGTGTGTTTGAGTGTGTATCTATGAAAACAGAAGTGATAAACAGGAGACAGGTATTATAATTTATTCTATTCCATTATATAAGAGAAGTTTAATGCATACGGTGATATTTGGAGTGACCTTTTTGTTAGTTAACCAATTTCTGTGATTCATACCTGAGCTAAACTGCTTTATAATGCAAAATCTCATCAATACAGTGTAGCATAAATTCACAATAACAACAATTATGATGAATACTTGTTTTTTGTGCGTGAATGATTTTCTCTTAAAGTTAACTTTAGCGTTAAACTATTATCATCCTCTAATTTATATTTTTCGATATCAATAGTAATGCTGTTCGACTCGCTATTCGTAAACTGACTTATGCACCAGAAGAACCAGCCCCACAACCATCTGCAGTGGTCCTTAAAGAATTCATTATGAGTCCAGGTACACTTCGTTTGGAGGTCTCTCTAAATAAAGAAGTAGGTAGTTTTACTGATTCTAAACTTTTTCTGTTTATTTGGATTAATCAATTTGTTTTGAATATTTTCATTCCAGATTTTAAAATCTCTAAGAACCTATAGAAAAATAACCCACATAAATATTATTTAAAGATAAGATTGATTTATAAAATGAATAGAGAAGGAAATGGTCATATAAAGTCTACGAGTTGACACATAGTTTTCCTACTGATAACACTTTTAGTAGTTTTTAACAGTCGAATTCATGAGTCTATTAAAGCTAGACCACCATAGAAAACCTTGAAGCGCTAGACGGCTATTCCGTCCTGATATGGGACTCCTCAGCAGGGCTCATCCACGATCCTGCTCGTAGGATTAGAACGCAGGACCTATCGTTCTCGCGAGCAAGCGCTTGAACTATAGACCATTGAGCTGGTATCCAGCGGTGTTAATGTCCAGCTTTAACCAATCCACGAAATTGCACGACCATCCACCATCGTCTTCAGCTAGTAACTGTTTATACCGGACGGTCGACCTCCACTGACCACGCCTTCTCACTGAAACTCCAAAAAATACCTCATGAAGTCAGTCACTTTTAAGCACATTTTTGGTATTGTTGAGTTTTAAGAGCCGCTTGGTTAAGTCGCGACAATGAATGCTTCACAATCTATCCATCTCAAAGAATGCCACACCATAACAGTGTGCCTAAAACTCCAACCATTTTTCTCTTTTTAATGAGTATCTTACTGATTAAGTCAAGGATAAACCTTTTCTTTTTTCTTGTATGTGGATTGTATTTGTTTGAATTTTAGATATCTGATTTGTAAATGAAATTCCATAGGATTTTCTAGGAATATTGATTAGCGAATACTTGCATCCTGTTACTTTTGAATAACTGAACAAAATTATTTTTTAATGATCTTTTTTACTCAATAAGTTATTACTATTCCTGATCATCAAACTAAACTGTAATTAAATAGATCCATTAATTTACAAATGGTCAAACATAAGATGTTAAATGTTTGATAAAGAATCACTTCAATACTACACAGTCACATTCATTGGTTTTTATTATATATATATTTGCTTTTATCGCTATATTAAGAAACATAATTTCGTTTCTGTGAACGTGTCATCGTTTCATCATGTAAGCTTATCATTTATTGATACCATGTAAAAATACCAAAAGTGATTTTCTTCGGGGATTATACTCAAGTATAAAACCTAAATATATAATCCAAAACGTAATGAAGTGATATCAGAAGATAGCATCACATGATAGTTGATAATCATACGAGGCTGATGCATTATGTTTTCTATTTTCGAGTCGAATATCTTATTACACCTAAAGAATGCTTCCTTAGGTAATTCTGAAGTGCAATGGATGCTTTTTACTCTTTTGTAAAAAGTTTAAATACATATATTTTGTAGTTTATTATCAAAACTGCTTATATTGTTCTCCAATGAATTATAAATGAATCACTTTATTTTTGATTTCAAACCGTATAAAAAAAACAATTCAGTTATTCAACATTGTAGCTATATTTATATAGAGTGAATTTCGTGAAAATCGTTCTATGACTTAAAAAGCAGATTTAATCACGTACTAAGATTCACTAGTAAAGCATTATAAGCATAATGGATAGATCATAATTCAACAAATACCGGAAATCCAGAAAACATCAGTAAACTATTTTGTCTTATTACTAAAATCCTAAGCAGGAAACATCTACGTCCTTACCGGAGATGTAACACAGAACGTTTGGTGTCATGAGCGAATGTTTAAGTTTTAGACAACCGATCCGGGGACCGATTATGTAGATGTCCGAATTCAATCAATTAGCGATGTTGCATGACCATCTTGCATTACCTGCTATGAATAATTACCTCATATCCAATATTATTTTTTAATAATTATCAGTAATATACACTAGCAACACTGATTTTATATTGATTATAAATGTACATCTATTGATCTGTTTTCTCATCTATTTACTTTTTTCTTTCATTTCCCTGTTGATTCATTTTCTTGTTCCAACCAATGATAATACCATCATCAACAACACTAAATAGAAATATTATCATGGTGAATCAATAGATATCAATGTTTTGGTAGACAATAATTCAAATAAGACAGTGAAAAAAATCAAATTATCAGGTAAGTATCGCTCTCTCTCTCTTTCTCTCTACACACTCACACATAGGCAAACATTTACACAGGTTCGTACTCATAAATTATTATGACCATTATTTGCAGACATTTTTTTAACTGTCCAACATGATCTATGGTGTTTTCTTAACTTGAACTATATTAAAATTGTTATTTGAGAATCGAACTAACAAAGGTGTTTTCGTTGAATTTCAACGTTATTTTATGTATACCCAATTTGTTTTTAATTAATAGTCTGAGTTATTAGGGATGTATTTGGATTGTCACTGATGTAATATAATGTAAATCAAATGTAATTGGGTTAAAAAACTCGATTATATATATATATATATATATATATATATATATATATATATATATATATATATATATTGTACAAACAGTATTTCTGATGTATACGATTTTCTGATAAAATCATTATCTAAATGGCCACAAAAATTGTTGTAAACAACAATCCCAAGAAATATCCGTGAATAATTTATGAGAATTGAAAAAATTCGTTTATTTGTCGACAATGTCCAGATTATTCATGACGTCAATAAAAAAAATATAATAATAATAATGATAATGATAATAATTACTATTATTATGGCCATAATAAGTAATTCTAGTCATTAAAACTAGTCTTCTCTAATTATTGAGAAGTACCAAAATTGACCAAATTCACCATGTTCTCTTTGAATCCCATCAAAAAACACCGATTGTATATTTTTTTCTTTCTTATCATGATAAACAACAACTTTCGATTTATCTTGTTTTGTTTCCTTTTTTTTTTGTTTTTCTACAAGAAATCTTGATTTATATTTCTATATGATTGTAACTACCAGAAAAACTTTCAGTGTTAGTACAGAGTACAAAAATAAGTATTTCTTTTATTTATTTATTCAATAGTTCAGGATCATTTTGAATAATTTAGATACTAATTGTTATAAATATTCATGCTTGATGAATGTTTGATTGTATATTTTAGTTAATTGAAATAGTAGTTTTGGTCAACTGTCAATATGACTAAGTAATTTTCTCCAAAATTAGTACTTTAATATGTTATTAAAATTTTTGCAATCAATCAAATATTATCCAATAAAAATAATAATGAAATTGTAATGAGTAATATATTTCATTTTCTTTGAATTTCTATAGTCTTGACTGGTATTGTCAGTTTAACTATTATAGTAAAACTCTGAAATAAGGATAGAAATGTTAGTTAGTTTATTAAACTAAACTGGTTAGATAAAGGTTTAAGTTAGTCAATGAGTTTTTAAATACTACAATCAAATCAAAGTAGAGAAGATTACGATAAGATCGTCTATTCATCACATTGAAAGATTTTAAACTGATTTACTTGACATCACGAGTCAATGTAAAGTCCAACAATTTTCCTTTCAAGAGTTTTGATTCTTCTTCAACATATTCAAAATTTCTTAGATATTTAGGGGTTTCTACCAATGAAATTTTTTCATTAAATATACCTTAATGAACGTATGATTTACAAAAGTCGTTATTCCTTTGCATGTTAAGTTTATAATTGGAAAAATGTATACGAGATTATTTTCAGATAAAAGTATTTTTCATTCAGTCCAAGCACAACAGACGAATATCTGTCAGCTTTGAACAAACTCTGTTGATTGGATCTTTTTGATGTTCTTACTTGAATATTTGAATATTATTTATTATTTATACTGAATTTATGTCTATGGTTATTCCAAGAACTATTTTTATTTCAGTGATTAAATCTTTTGTATACAGGAAACGATTTCATATAATTCAAGAATTGTCTTTGAATGACTGTGATTGAATGGTAGCTAATACTAATTATTAGTACTACTATTACCGTACTTTTTTTCCAAATTTCATTTTTACAAATATATTACATATACGTTTGTTTGTGTACACTTCCGTTTTATCATTCTTTCTAATTTCAATTTTATTGTTATGAGTATTTCAGTATTCACTGCAATACATAAAATCTCTTTATAATCAGATTTCTTCTGTGTATACTTATTATTCATGGTTTCAATTAAGTGTATATTCCTTTGTTATTTTTCTTTCTCATTAATTAAACAATAGAAGATAATTAAATGTCATTTTTAATTGATGTATCATAAATTTTCATCTTTCTGTATGCATTTCTTCTATTTTCCCTGTCATAATTGTTTTTGATCACATTTTTCCCCCTTAAAGTTATTCAAATTACAGACATTACATTGTTTAGTCGTGCCGTATACAAATGTACAGTTGATGAAGCTGAATATGAGTAAGAATTAGTTTAGTGTTATCTTTAATGCATACAACTTAAATAATTATGCATACATATATATAACTCTTTATTCATGGAGTTTATTGAATGATCATATATATATGCTTACGTTTCGTGTATGTGATGTTGGATAGTTTTTTTTTTAAATTTTCATCTTGTTTTTATTACTATATCGATTTTGGGTATGTTTTCTTTTAAAATTATTGTTGTTGTTTGTTATATCTGTGTTGTTATTGTTGTTTCTTTTGAGTTATTTATGAGATTCCCAAGAGAATTGTTTATCTCCCAATTGTTTAAATGATTTCAATAGTTGTATACACGGTTGAATATTCAATTATACTTAAAAAAATTTCCTTTTTATTTAGATCGTTTGAATAGTTAACTAAAAAAACAACTTATTAAGCTAAATTGGGATGACATAAATAGGTTCCATAAAGTACTATTCTAAACGATAAATTTCATGGAAAAGTACATAAACAATCATTTATAGGTTTGAACTGTTTTGTTTATATTACCAAGTATTCACTCTTCAACATGGAATATGTAAACTTCAGTAAAGTTTTATATTTTTCTAAGATGAAGTTTACGTCTATTCTATATAGGTTCATTCATATTGTTTATATGATAATTATTCAATTAATAATTTGTTTGAGTGGAAAACATGCAATAAAGTTATGTAGTCACACAATAGAATACTATTTTACAATGATATTTTATATCTAGCGATAGTAGCAATAATTTTCAGAATATGAAAACAGAAAATAAAATAACCAGAATTACAGAGATATTGTTTCTAACAACAAACTGGAAATATACTTGGTTAATCCTTAGAAATTAATTTTAAAGAGTGCCATAAAAACTAGGCAACTATTTTTATTATAAAAATAAATTACAAAAGAGGATAAGATAAAATTTTGGTCAAAGAGGGTTTGAAAGCGTGAATTAATCTGTTAAGAGTATGTTAATTGAGCAGAGAAGGAGTAGGTGATAATTTAGGAAAGTTAGTGATTGTTTGTGGTAGGAGGAGAGGTTAAGTAATTTTATTTAGGTTACATAGTTTCGACCTTTGTATGTAAATAAAATCTCGAGGGATGTAAAAGTTAACTACTTTCGGCAGGTAATTTTTCATCTGCTATAGGAGTATAAATGATTAGCACTTTTTGATCGATTGATCTGTATGTTCATGAGTTATCTATTATTGATTTACTGTGAATCTACTACTGTCTCTTTTTGACCACGTAGTTTATGCCTAGCTTCACAAGAACAAATACTGGAGTGGCTGAGTCTGAGGTCTCTTCCTTTGTTCTACTGGTAAATATGAATAGACTAAAGCATATCAAACTTAAAGCTCTTAAGAACCAGAAACTTTTCTTTTAAGTCAGGTGCTATTTGTCACCTTCTAGGTCAATTTTTATCATAGAAATCTTTTTTTACTGAATCCCTGAAAGGTTTGAGTTTCCCATTCTCTTCAAATTTTTTTAGCTAGTATACGTTCTCCATTAGTAGTTGTTTTAGGGGCGGAAAGTATTCTATGATCCCATGTCTACAAATAATATATAATTGTTTCTATACATCTTTGTTAATGAAATCGTCGGAAATAGATTTGTTTCACTAAATTAAATATTTGTTTGATGAGAATTTATTACCAACAATAATCATGAAAATTTATGAGGATTTTTAACCGACTGGTTTATTTACACTTAGCTCTCCGGAAAACTAACCAGTTTTCTGATGTTTTTCTTTAATCCATAAACTATTTGTATACATACACTAGTGACTGGCATCAATATATATATCCTCGAGTTCTAGTGAGAAGCAGTGACCAGTGGAGTTCAACCGGGTCAGTTGCGAGGTAGTAACCCACTGATGACAGTGGTGGATATATCGCTCAATTTCATGGATTAGTTGAAACTAGACAATAACACCGCTGGATGCTGGCTCAGTAGTTTAGTTGGTTAAGCGCCTGGCGCGAGACGGGGTCGTAGATGCGCACTGCTGAGGAGTCCCACAATAGGACGAAACGGCCATCCAGTGCTTCCAGGTTTTCTATGATAATCTATCTTCAATTGACTCATAATCTCAATTGTTTAAATATATATATTCGTTTATTCTTAAATCAATATGCCATCTGTGTATGTTTATTAATTTTTCTATAGTGTATATTAGTTTACTTATTTTAAGAGGAAAAATCCATTAAATTTTAGCTCCTATACATTTAGATATGTTAAAACATGTTCAATCGGCTAAACTGTAATATTATTATAGAAATAAACTTCCATTTATGTAATGTTTATGTCAACAAGTAACAATATTCATAAAAGTTTAGTAATATAAAAACTTATTGTGTCCATAAGCAAGTTTATTTGTAAATAGCTTATATTTCAAATGGAATTGTGAATACATTTCATTCGTGTTGTAGTATATTTAATAATTTTCATATGTTTGATAATAGCAACAAATCGACCAATATATTGTTTTTCAAAAATATACATCAAGTTTTGGGCTTAGCATATAAAGTCAACCTTACTACTAGCTATCTTTAGTATTTCAGTCAACTTGTTACTCACTGCAATTTATCGTGTAGTTTCAAATACATTCCGTTTCTTAACATTTCTGGTTCTTTAAATTGTTTATCGTTGAAATATTTAAAAAGTCTTGTCAGTTTTTAAATAAAATAGGAGAATTTTTAAGAAATGTAAGGTTTTTACTATTTCGTTGGTCTTTACTATTAATTTGTAGCATTTCTTGTAAGTAACTTAATCGTACTAAGTGTTATTCCCTGATTACTTAAACAGTAAAATCTTTTAGTCCACTTATCAAAAATCCATTCACGTAACTTACAGGAAAGCAAATTATTTCAATGGTCTGATGATAACTTATTTTCTTACTGACGGTTATCAAAAGAATTCGATTGTCTTCGAGTAAAGATTTTCTAACCACGAAGGGAGGTGTTCACTAACTCTTTGATTCAGTTACCTGGTAGTGCGCCTAATATAGGTTTCTCCACAGGAGCAGCTGAATTCGTAGATGCACATAGAAGTGGCATAACCAGGTAACTTATCCTTCAGTTGGGGAATCACTATAGATCGGGTCGAATACGATAGACAGAGGTTGGCAACATTACTGCTCTAGTCAGTCTATCATGTAATACGTCACTAGCTACATCACCATTGAATTGCAGCTTCAAGAAAAGAGGTTCCTTATTAGCCGTTAGTGTTACTATTTTCTTGCTTGTTATACGCAAGTGTTTCATCAGGAAACCCTGTGGATATCTCGATTCAATCAACATACTATAAATGAGCTCTAATTCCTTATCAATTGTGTCAACTGAACATATATTAATAGCTCTATTTGCCAGACATTTGACTAAGTTTCCCTTATATTGAAAAGACACAAAGCTTAAAAAATGTGTGTATTGGCTTGAAGAAGAACTTTTTCTACCTCTACTGATAGAACCATTCTTTTTCTATTTAACAAAACTTCAAGGAAACGTAGTTTATTATCTATTTCTTCTTCATATGTAAATTTAATTGCAGGTTGTTTGTTATTGAATAGTTCTAGTAGTTGTTCTTTTCTAATGTTCTGATCGACAATGATGAAAGTGTCATCAAAGTAACGACAGTAGAAATCAAGCTTATTGGTAACCTCTTTGAGAGGTCCTTGCGCCTACGAATTCAGCTGCTCCTGTGGAAAAAGCTGTATTGGGCACACTACCAGGCAACTGAACCAAAGAGTTAGTGAACACCTCCCTTCGTGGTTAGGAAAAGGTAAAGTCAAGACAATACGCAGCTCGGTTCTATCACACTTGATCGATAACGGTCATGTAGTGGACAGAAACGCGTCATTTAAAGTTATTTATCATATTCCCACTAGTTTTCCTTATAGTGTTCGATCTCGTCTCTTACACATAGCAGAAGCTATAGGAATTCGAGCCAACAAGCCAAGTCTTTCTGTTCAGAAGAAATTTGTAACACCCTTCTCTCCCTTGGCCTTAATAAATGAATTTATTTATTATTTTTTCAAACTTTCTCTTCGTTTATTATTTCTTTTCACCCCCTCCTACCATTTTCTCTCTCAAATAGGCGTTTCATGGTCGAATTACCTGAACACTTCTAATTACGTCATCTTATAATTTTCTAAATATTATTTCACTGTCTATATTTTTCTAATCATTGACCTATTTTCGATTGCGTAACATTGGTTTTTGAGCCTTTATTATTCTTATCAAAACTAATGCACCTGTTATCACAGTACCAATTTGTACTTCTAACTTTTCACTTATGTAATCGTTTTCATTGTTATTATTGACTCACAATCTACCTTGATTGGTTTAATAATTTCATATATGCATATAAATATTACTGTATATTCGAGTAAAGCTTGATGAGGATCTAATCGAAAACAATATTGTTCGCTTATATATGTTGTTCTAAATTTTACTTTCTGCTAGTTATATAGCTATCTTTCAATATGTCACCCGTTTCCAGGCGTGAATATTAATGAGATAGTAAACGCAGCCAAAATTTAAAATGTTTCGTTCAGTTTTGTGAATTCTGGTTTAATAAATTTACTATCCTTTTCATGAATCAGGGCACACTAACCTACATAAACTCGAAACTTGCTGCAGTCGTCTCAGTACCGTTTAGAATCTGAGTCCTAATTGGTATGATGTTCCTTTTGCGATATTGTCATAGATATTGACTCATGAGCTTCGAAAACAAACGTATACATACTAACAGTATCAACCAGTAAATTTATAATTAAATTTTACAACAGGGTAATTCACTTTTAGGCTGGTTATACGGGAAAACTAAACGCTATCTTGGCAGTTTATAACCTAAATATCACAGATTAGTACAGTGGAACAACCATAACAGTATCAAGAATCCTAATTGATCACTCACCCCTTATGTATATATTTGTATTGGTCAATAACCAATTACATTCAGCAAGAACAGGTCAATTCCGAATTACCTCGCTTACATCAATATGAAATTCGTTGTTATTACCGATGATAGCATGTATAACAGCATCTCAATCACACCGGCTTTTATTATAATGAGAAGGGACTGCCAAAATATATGAAGTCTGTTACTCGGCAATTCAAGAGTACACATTCTTTTCAATAAATTCTACTTGTTTAACACCACACCGTTCATAACATGACTAATTAACCTCCATTTATCCGAGAGATTTTTCATTCTTTGCATTTACACTGACGTTAATTTTCTGAGAGTTCATAAGGGTGCCATGCAGGACCATCTACTTCCACGTAATAAGATCCAGACACGGTTGAAATCCAAAATCTCGTACCCAACTACCATTGGTACATCTCCCTAAATAACTTATGACATTTGTGAGATTTTCATCACTTCGATACTTTGGGTTCTCAGATATCACCTCATCTCGGTATACTTTTCAAGACATATATATAAACTACACTAAATTATTTGCGGTTGTTTTTGTAAGTATAAAATCGAATATTACATGTAAGCTTATTTCATAAACAATGTTAATGTAGAATTTCACTCGTCTACCATTTAAGCTTCTCATCATTTCTATATTAAAATTAAATTAAAGAAAACTTATTGTTCTTATTATCAGATTGGATTTCCCGCACATTACACGTAGGTTAAATTAGAAAAATACGTAAAGTATTATGGCAAAGTTGAAAGCAGACTCAGATAAAACAATTAGAAATGACAATTGATTACACGTAACTTAGGTTTATATGGTATTTGTTTTTATAAATGTGTTTCTATGCCATTTGACCAGTCCCTTTTAAATAAGATTATTACTTTATTACTAGGTGATAATTTTATAAAGGTTTTCCACCTTAACATTAGCAGATCTCCTTTTTTTTAAATCTGAGAATCAAATTTTATTACAGCGGCACTTGTAACACCATGCTGATTTTTGCAAGTGCTAATCAATCCGCTTATTGTACAAACAAATGAGTAGAAAATCCTATTCACTGACTAAAATGCTTTTGTATAACAAATAACACAATACAGTTATTGATTTCAAACTTTATTGAACAAACAATGGTTTCTATAGTCTACATAAACTTGTTAAATTGGTTCAATGGTAGCTCATTCTAGTTATACTAATCATTTACAAAGAATCAAAAATTTTATTAATTAATACCTGGGTAGTGTTACAATAAACTACGACTTTTTTCTATACCTACTAGATGTTAACAGTTTTTTCATAATTGACTCCAATATTGTTAATATCTTATAACGATTTTAAGTTATTATCAATAAATACATATTTTTCAAAAGTAAGTTTACTGAAACCGGAATAACTTAACTAAATAAAAATTAGGCGTCAAGAGTTGACTTACATATTATCGTCTTCTCTTTCATATGTCAAATAAACTATGATTTTTTGTAATTGACTCAATGAATCTTAATGTAATAAACTGGATTGATTTATAAACTCTTACAATAATTCCATATTAGTAATATTCAAAAATAAATACAAAATGTTGTTAATGAATATTTTCATTATTTTAGAATTATGCTTTTATATATGTGTATGTACATATTTTTCTTATAATACTTATATAATTTTATTTTATCCAGTTTTATTTATCATTTTTATTCTTCTTTCACAATGCATGCATTTATTTACAATAATTTTTTTGGCTGCAATTATTCTCGTTGACCTGGTTTATTGATTCACCTACTCGTTCGTTCGTTCATTCGTTCGTCCATTGGTTCAAACTCACTTTAATCTACTACTGTTTTTGATTATTTCTACCGTTTGATGATAATGATAATAAAATGCTAATGGCATGTACAATTACTTACACATATAATCTCTGTTGGATGTTGTTCATTGGGTGATTTTATGATAAATTTTCACAATCTCTATATATATACATATATGTTATGTATCTGCTATGCCTCGTCATATTATACTCCTCTACGTAGTTCGTCAGTATACTCAATTATGCTTACACAATAACAATCGTTATAACTGTGTTGTGGATGAATTAGAAACTGAGTAAGTTTTATACATTATCGTATTGTTAGATTATCATGATCACTGTGTATACATACTTTATATTCTTTATTCATTCATACAGTATTAATGTCGTTAAAGTTTTTTTAAATCTTCTTTGTGTTTTAAATATTCGTTTACACATACCTATTTGTGCATGTTAGTTATTTCTCATAATCATATCATTGTTTAATATAAGTGACACGCTAATAAAGTGAGTTTTGGCCACATATACATTGAAACTAGAGTTTATTTACATTAAAACTGTTAATGAACTTCATCATATTCATTTGTAATTTCATTATGAATGATTTAAGGTTTTATTCTGTATTCAATGATACACCTAATGTGTTTTACAACAAATTATAAATATTATGACATTTCGCGTACTAATATACGTATATATAGTTAAGATTGCACATTTTATACATTTAATTAGAACTGTTCATTTCCGGTTATTGCATTTCAGTTAACAACATCAGAATTCTTTCATAAATATATTGATTACTTATTGCAAATTAAGGATAAATTATTTCTATAAATAATTCATTTTTGTACTGGTTGTTTGAATTTTCCTGTCGATGTTTAGGACTGAAATTGATCAGTATTATTGGCATATATGCATCCTGTGTGGATTGCCTCGGTATTGCCTTAAGTCACAAACATTGTAGGCAAGGATAGATGGTGGCTAGTAGTGGAATCCAGGACTCGTGTTTCGTCTCATTTAGGTCACGAAGCTAATATGATCTATCAGATGCATAAACATCTGGCTGACGAGTCTGAAACAAGACGAAATGCGCGTCTTGGATTCTACTGCTGGCCACCATCATCTTTGTTTTACTTCCACCACTATTTAACAATAGAATTCAATAATCTTGTCAATTGGTTATCGTTATCGTAATAGAGAAGTATACTATTTGCATTCGCCTGTGTAGTTAATAATCTAAATTGATACCTCTTGATCGTTTAAAGCTAGTTTACTTTTGAAAAAAAATATTAATGAGGTTGTAAATGACTAGATATCATGAGACAAAACGACTAAGTAGCTACTAATAATACAATAAAATGAATAGGAATGGTAATTGACCACTTATCAGCTTATAAAATTGGGACCTTACTTCGTTCACATTGAATTAGTATTGAAATTATATCGAAATTTTATAACTTAGATATTATTCGACAAAAAGCGCACATATTGTTTGCCAAGATTACTGAATCGATAAATTGCAGTTACAGTGTGGAAAAAATTATGATATAACATGCAGTCATTATTTTAAGTGGTAAATATCTTACGAAATTCCAATGTATGTTTTCTAATTAAAAAGGAATGTATTTATGTACAAAATCATTGCTAAATTGGAAACAATCGCTTCACTTATTGTTATTATTATTATGCAAAAACATCATAATATCTTTACATAAACTTTACTGCATTACATTGTTGAGTGTCCTGGGTCAGTTCAGATTTTAAACTAACGATTTTTCTAGTTTTCATAAACAATATGTATTGCGATATTATAATTTATGTGAATACATTCGAAAGATTTTAATTATTATGGATATTAAATCAAACAGGGTATCTTTGTAAGCCTTACAAACTCAGTATTTTAATGAATATAATACTACATGGAGGGTGTAATTGTCAAGCCAATATATCGTTTACAGCTTGTGCTTTATCAAAAGATTCATTGTAGTAATACTTATGATTCACATCTCGTCTCAACTTATTTCAAATAACTAATTCTAGGAGGTGTCATTTATCTTATGCTTGAATATAGTTGAGCTGTGGTTTCATATTTACTAAAATAATTCCCTTTCAACCATTAGATTGTAAATACAAATTTTGTTTATTACTTTTAAGTTTGAGTAGTATCATTAGGTTTTATACAAAGTATTCGAGCATAATAGAATAAGAATATCGACTTATTTTATTGAAATAGTTTGTATGATCAATTATATGAAATTTTAATTATGGGATGTAATTTGTGATCACGTATATATTGACGTAATTACTTTGAACAAGAAAAAATTGCTCTGAATATCCAGCATATAAAATGAATTCATTGATAGTAATTAGCTTTAGTCAAATGTACACTGACTGATACAGTGTATCTAATAAAAAGTGGTGTTTGTACTATCAATGTTCTATTAATTTGAAAAGTAAAACATGAATTTTCTAGCCATTAAGTGACTTCACTATGTGATTTATTAGTTTTTCTTTAATTCTAATATTCAATAATTGATTTTCGAATAATCTAAACAAATTAGTGAGGAAAATGTTTTATTTGATTAAGCTTTTTAACATATCTTTGAACTAGTACAACTGAATTTTACGACTAGGTATAGAAAAACATGTCGGTTAGATAATGGACACGATTGATTGAGAGCAATTCAATATCAGAATTAATGGTGACAGTTATGATGATGATGATAACAAATATTTAGGAAAATGATTCAAAGCTTGAAATGAACAAGGTAATTATAATGTTGAATAAGTTTTATTCAGTGAATATGTTGTTATAAAATAAACAGATTACTTAGTAATCAATGTAAGAGCTGAAAATTCTTCTGAACTGGTTATATGTTAAGATTAAGTGTTTAGGCATCAAGAAATAACACATATAATTCAAACCTAATTAAACGAATATATAGTCATTGTAGACCCTAAAACATTTAGAAATCAATTACTCTCATTCACTACAATAAATCTTTTATGGTTGCATTATTCTGATAAATTTTCAAATAATCGTTCTGTTCAATTAATGTTATTATTCTACACTGGACTTTACGACGAATAAGTTTCATCAATGTTATTTAGTACTTAGTGTCAATCGTTGTTTACTGATCGAATTTCAACACTTTCTACTGTTGTAATAAAGTTATTTAATATCAAACAAAGCTCGTTATGATGTCGAGTCACTTGAACCATTGACCACACCATAGGGATAATCGATGGAACGAGGACAATTACTAGGACTATATGATATGATTTTCGTTAGTATTCAGAAAAAAATTAATACGAACATCTCATCCTTATAAAAGGAGAGTTATTGCCCAAACGGATGAATAGTAATTTCTGTGAGTATGATACTCACTGATATACGACCGCATTCCACGAAAACGATTAAATTGTCTTAAGATTATAAATACAACTTAGACGTAGTATGTGTTATTGGAACTCCTTTTGAAAATTTCTAACAACTTTAATTCAAAACAATGATCGTACGTTTGATAAAAAAAGTATCATTAAGTGTAAATGCGTATCTTTTTCATAATTGATTAACTTTATTACTGTATATGTCTGACTTCTTTTTATCATTCATATCATCATCATTATCAATGGTAATGTCGTAGTAAACGAGAACTTAAATGGGAAAAATCAATTTATTGTTGAAAGCTATACATTTAATATATAATTTGCATATTCCTCATCAGTTGTTCTTTACATGCTTCATGATTCTTTCACTTCTATTGATATCATAGCTAATTTTTGTTTTTCTTTCTATTCTCTTCAATTGAATCTTCTAAATTTTCTGCTGGCATGCATTTCATTTCCGATTGGTAACATAAACCATAATAACATTAATTAATATTACCATAGTTTTGTAGAATGATTCTGATAAGTTTACATGCATTCTAATTATTCTTTTCTAATTATTTATTTTGAGTATTATTTACAATAATCATTTGTTAACATTTTTAATATTATTTTGGTTGATAGTGAGTCATTTCCTATTTTACCAAGTCAAACGGGTTGGTGTAAAGTATATAAACTACGTCCATTACTTGCCAATAACAGACATAAACGTGGTCTAGCATTAGATGGTAAATTAAAACATGAAGATACTAATTTGGCTTCATCCACAATGTAAGTTTGTTATTTGTATTGTTATTTGAAAATAAAGATAAATACTATTGAATTTTGACCGAATTTTGTACAAATACTCAGTGATTCAATGATACTGTGTTTATTGTGAGAACTTTGAACTGTCTAGGCTTTATTATTGATTATCTTCATCCATCTAACACCTGATGCTCCACGTTTCATTCTTTTTAGGGTAATTATTTTCTCTGTTTTGAAAGAAAAGTTTATTCACACTATTGTACCATAGAATAAACGTTGTATTCAATTGTAATTGATTTCCATAAGAAAGAATAAAACACCTTAATAATAACATTATTTACACAGGGTGTAACATCAAGTTTAAATGTTTATTATCATAGTAATATATTATTAATAATAATAGTTATAATAATATATTACCATGATAATATTACCATAAGCAATATCTGACCTAAGTCTTCTATCTATTTTTTTCGTTATATCTTTCGATTGCTTCAAATGATCTTTTACTTCATCTAATCCCTTACTTATTTACTTGCTTGCTTAATCCTGTTACCCCTCGTGAAGGAGCATATATCACTCACCAGAAAGCATGACATGAGCTAACGAAAATCATTAATTTCTAAATATGTATATGATTATGGTCAAATAGTTTATCTAAATCTTTGTTAAACAAAGTTTTTAATACTTTTAAGCTGGAAATAGATGATAGAACATGACATCCATTGAATAAGTTAGCAGTTATAAATATTATATTATTGAATAATCCAATAACAACAACAGTAGAAACAAACAACAAGACTCGTATTTTTTCGAACAATAATTTGAGAATATCATTACTATTACTCTGATTGTTTAGTTTAAAATTATTATTTCAATCTGATAATTTCAAACTAAGATAAGATAACAATAGTTGAGATCATGAGTCAATTGAAGCTAGACCACCATGGAAAATGTGGAAACACTGGACAACCGTTCTCGTCCTACTATGGAATTCCTCAGAAGTGTGCATTTAAGACCCCGCCTCGCTAGATTCAAACCCACGACCTATCGTTCTCGCCCACGAACGCTTAACCTCTAGACCATTGAGCCGGTCGGCACCCAACGATGTTAATGTCTAACTTCAACTAATCCATGAAATTGAGCGACACATCCACCATTTTCATCAGTGAGTTCCTATCTCACAAGAGACCCGGTTGAACTCCAGTGGTCACTGCTTCTCACTAGAACTCTAGGAAATACCTCTAGAAGCCAGTCACTAGTGAGCATATGTTGATTATTATTATGTCATTGCATTTAGGTTATACATTCTTTTGATGTTAGTTGTATAACCAAATTATTTTCCTCCTTACTAAATGTGCTCTTTCAATTGTAATATAATACTTATGACTGAAGTAGATCATTATTTAGGCTTTTTTTCTAATTTTAATATATTAACAGTATATGCAATCCGAACCATAAAGAAAATCTTGGCATGACTGTTCAGTATCGTGTAAAAGTTCGATTAGTATTAGGATTCGTGTCAAGGTGAGAGGGTTGTATATTTTTGTATATTAGTTTTATAAACTATTCATTCATTTATTTTCGTCAGCATATATTTTAAAATAATTAATTATTTTATTCAACTTGAATGATTCCGTATGAAGGTAAGGTTTCTCAGAATTATTGAATATAATAGCATAATACATTTCGAACAATGTGACCACATATTTATTTATGATATTTGTATATATGTATATATGTATGTTTGTATATGAGAAATAAAAGTCAACTAGATAATTCGAACATAAGAAAAGAGCGTGATAATTAACAAAGAAATTCATGTTCACACCTCTTGAGATAGTAAGTCAATATTGTTTATGTTATTTATGTCTTCTTCAAGGTCTTACAAATAGGGGTTCATTAAGTTTTAATAGTTTATCGATAATATTGGTTTTTTTTATTTGAAAAAAATAACCCAAAAGTATGCATTCATTATTGAGATTATTCAAAATAAATGTTGCATTTATATCATTGTTAGTAAGGGGCTCATTTTGGTCATTCTCTGTTGACGTATGTGGGTTACATGGGAATCGCCTCAGTGTAACTATTATGTCTCAAGTTACATAGAATTGATGGATAGTGGTTATCAACTAAGTTTAAATTTCTCTTTTCGTTTTATCTATGACTCATCAATTAGATGAACCTGCATACAAGCGTTGTTGTTTTCACTGGAATTCGGTTGAAGTTTGTTTGAATGCTGTATTCTTTGTATTGATAAATTATAGAAACGAATAGTCTCTATTTACATAACTTATTCGATAATTATACATGGCTTTTTGTACTTGATATATTCCGTGGTAAGTTGAAGTTAATTGTTTGAACAGGTTATTTTGTAAGCTTCGTAGTTAGCTGCCATAACTGTAAATACAGATCTTTGAGTATAGTTTCCATTTACCAAGTAAAAGTTTATCTTGTTCATGTAACTTAAAATTATTTGCATTCAGTACATACGTGTTCACTTTTCATATATTTACTTCATATGGATGTTCCGTTCACTACAATTAGTCATACGCAACTTAGAAAATGGCACATATGTGAAACGCTTTAAGTTACCACATCATATAATTATTATGAGTAATGACAGTAATACTGGTGATATAAAAGTTTTGACAAATAAGTTGTGATATAAATGTGCAACATAGTACTGAAATTCTGTTTATCATGAAAGATAAAATCAACATTACGACCTATTCATAACAATTTCACACATTATTGTCAACCATCGATTGAAATAATAACAAGGGCTTAAACAACAAAGTCTGCACATATCAACCCGAGTGTATTGTTACATTTACTTCTTCATTAACTGATATACTGCTTATATATGGAGATAGTTTGTTTATTTGAGATGTTATTAATATTTATTTCAACATTTCACTTGCATCTTTTTACCTTTTTGCATGGTGTTATAATAAGAAACATAATGCTTTGAATTTCATTTATCCTTATTTAAGACAACATTGTCACTAATCTAATATTTAAATAAAATGTGACGGTATTTTTCATAGAAAAAAAGTTATTTATGAATATCTGTGAATCTTATTTGAGAAATACTGTGATTAAAATTCTACTTTAAATACTGCATTGAAAAGACATTAAAAGCCAAAAAATGTTATAATTACGAATGTTTATGAATAATGCAATATCCGGTTTCATTAATTAGACACACAAAACACGTTTTCAACCATTGACTGACAAAATTCGTGTTACCATTACAAATATTGAATACAAATGTATTGTTTTCATTTAAACAAATATAGATTGGCACTTTGTATCTTGCTGATATTAAGTAGAAAAATAGCTTTAGTTATTCATCGAAGATAGAAATACCAATAGCATATGACTGAATAGTTTGAAGATAGTTCTTTCTAATTCAGTTGTGACTTAGATATTATTGTTATTTAATTAGTTGAAATCATGACTCAATTAAGGCCAGACCACCATGGAAAACCTGGAAACACTGAGCGGCTGTTTCGTCCTATTATGGGATTTTTTTAGTATATGCTCACTTAGTGACTGGCTTCAAGAGGTATTTCCTGGAGTTCTAGTGAAAAGATGTGACCACTGGAGTTCAACGGGGTCTCTTGTGAGATAATTGCTCACTGATGAAAATGATGGATGTGTCGCTCAATTTCGTGGATTAGTTGAAGTTAGACATTAACACTGTTGGGTGCCGGCCGCCCAGTGGTTAAGCGTTCGTGCGCGAGATTTATAGATCCTGGGTTCGAATCCCGTGAGGTGGGATCGTGGATGCGCACAGTAGGACAAAATGGCTGTCTGGTGCTTCCAAATTTTCCATGGTGGTCTAGCTTCAATTGACTCATGATTTCAATTACTTAAATTACTGTAATATCCACAAAAACCCCTTCTGATATTATTATTACGTCGACTAAATTTCTGTTTATAATTTTTCTAACTGTTTTTCTAAGTGATGTCAGCGTGGAACTTCCATTCACACTAACTCATCCAAAACCTGATTCGGATGTCAATGGTACTTCATCAAAACTAATTATTGATGATGATAATGATATTCTTCATTCTTTGTTATCTGGATCTGATGATAGACTAAAACATAATCGACATATCTTGCAACAATCCCAGTTACATTCAAACGAACAAAGTTCATCTGATCGTAATGTAAATATTACAGATGATTTAATTAAATTGGATGATGGAATAAATGACAAGTGAGTTGGATACATTAGTAACCAAAATATTTTTATTATACTTACATATTAATAATAGGTTAGACATTTTATTCAATAATCATAAAATAACAAGACTATTTAATATAATCACAAATACATCAACTATTTTTCTTGATCAAAAATAATCAACTAATATATTAGTAACGAATAGACTATTCAATTTTATTTGGGTACTTTATTATACTAAGAATTCGTTGCATCTTATATAACGTAATATACTAAAACAAAACCCTAATTAGCCAATGTTCTATGATTTCCAATAATCTATTAGCTGTTGGTATTATCTATAATGAAAACTATTTTCATATTAAACAGAAGTAATACTCATATTAAAGCTTATTTCTTATTATTATAGTTTATCTATAATACAATGATTTATTAGGTGTTTTAAACATACATTGATGCAGAATAGTATGAATTCATATTATTTCGAGGTTTCTCGTCAGCTGCTTACAAACCAAAATTGTGATAGAATTTTTACATGGAGATAGTGTGAAAACATTTGACATAAATGAGTGTAAATAACTGGATTACAATAATAACTATATATATATATGCTAGAAACAGGTCAAAGGTCAAAAGAGAGGGGGTTAATCCAGGGTGGGTGGTGTAATAATTTAGTGAAGTTCATAAATTGTGTGATAATTGTAGAGATTAATGGAATTAAATAATGATAAGGTAGATTACGTAATAATAATTAAATAGAATTTGGAAAGTTAAGATAATTTAAGAGGATCAGGTGGTGGAAATGTGTGAATAAAATTTATTTTAAAAATTAGGTAATAGGGGGGAGTATAAAATATCTTAGAATAAGTAAATGAAAAAATAACCAAAACACAAAACAAACAGAAACAAAAAGATTACCAGGGTAGTGATAAGTTTATTAAAGTCTCTTTTTGAATGCATAAATCCGGTTTCAGTTTCTTAATGGCAATCGCTTCAGCAAAGCGGAGAGTGGTAGTAGTTCTTTGTCTATTGATAATTTTAAACGCGCGCATAATATCGACGGTATGCCCGGTGTCAAGTAGATGCCGAGCTATTGCACTGTTAAAAGCTTTAGTCCCTCGTAGCGTCAAGTTCTTCGGAATATGCTCAGAAATGCGAACCTGTACTCTTCTCTCAGTTCTTCCAATGTATGTGCTACGGCACGTACATGTGAATTGGTAAATGCAGTTGGAGCAACTGAGGGGAGAGGACTTGTCGATCTTCGTTTGTTTCAGTGAGCAGTATGTTTTCCATAACGTAGTCAGTTTGGCTGCCGGGTAGGTCACTTTTAAAGCGGAATTAATTCTGTGATTGATAATTCCGGCGACTTCATCTCCTTTGAAGCACAAGGATAGGAAGCAGGTTTTCTTTTCAACTGTATCATGCTTAATCGGATGGTTTGTATTAGCATATTTGTGGATGAATTTATCCGGATATGCATTTTCACGTAGGCATTTGATGATTGTAGTAATTTCTTCTTCGAGGCATTCTTTTGAGCAGATTTTTCGTGCGCGGTCAAAAAGGTTTCGCACAATACCCTTTTTATAACTTATTGGACAGAAGCTGTTAAAATTGAGATAAATTGTAAGCAGCTGACGAGAAACCTCGAAATAATATGAATTCATACTATTCTGCATCAATGTTTGTTCTTGCTCTATTCAAATTCATAAAGGGAACCAATTGCATGAAGTTTTAAACATAGTTGGATTATTATCTAAAGCAACTATAGAATAATGTAATATTTGTCATGAAAACAAACTAACAAATTAATAACCTCAGAAGGGGTATTGTTGACATTATAGTAATTTCAAAGGTTGAGATCATGAGTCAGTTGAAGCTAGACCATCCTGGAAAACCTGGAAGCACTGGACGGCCGTTTTGTTCTATTATGGAACCCCTCAGCATTATTAATCACTAGAATTATTTCCAACGAATAAAAAGAACTGAAAATATGTTTGATTTTTCTTTCTTCTTTAAAAATATAAATCTAAAGTTAAATAGTCGAATTAATCATATTACATAATCTTATAATTTATGGTATATTTCTTTCTACATAGGTTAAATCATATTATATTAATCAATAGTTTATCACAACAAGACTAAAAAGTCACACTTTCTAACCACGTGGTATTGTAGTTATTGGTAAAACTAGTGATTATTTGCATTTGTGTGTTATATTTGCTTTAGTTCAAATGTAAAATAAACACATGATAATTGAGTGAATGAATACTATGAGGTATTTATTTGTAGTTGAATATAATAGTTTGATTATCTATAAAATACATAATATGACTTCAATATCTTGTAATTAAATCAACTGTAAATTTATTGATTCAACCTAGTTAACAATATTTATTCATTCACTTCATGTTGATTAATCATATTCGAACAAGAGTTTTTCTTAAGAAATCTTCGAGATGAGATCATTTTTTTAATATCCCTAATTTTCAATAGTTGAGATCATACACTGATTGATGTTAGATCACTATGGGAAACCTGCAAACACTAGACGGTCGTTCCGTCCTATTTTGGGACTCCTCAGAAGTGCGCATCCACTATCTCGCCTCGCTGGATTCATACCCAGGACCTCAGTTTTGTTTAGATAGGATAGAAGGTGTTAGAAAAAACCTCAAAAATATGCAACAACAACATGAAATTTAATATTTACACCTTAATATTCCTCTTGGTTTTCGGATGTATTACATATGTACGATTGATTTCAACAAAGTGTTTTACCTTTTTCTACTGAACAACTATGCTTGACATTATATGTATTTCTTGAAAATATAGTTGAAATGAATTTATCATCATATTATTGGTAGTTAGCTAGCGTACTATTTACAGGATAGGTATTTTGTGTATGTGAGTGTGAAAATATATTTAAATTGTCTGGATCTGCATGTATGTCTGTAAGTGTACATTAAGAAGAGAACAAATGAATTATTGATCAAAAATGTTATAATCTGGTAGCAAACATGCGCGCCTATCGCACAATAAGGATTATTATGCTAAATGTTTCTTTTTTGTCGTCGAGATACTGATATTTCATAACTCCATACATTTCTAAGCCCAGATGATGTGAAATAGTAGTATACCTTTTTTTCAAACTTGTATGTAATACAACTCTAGGAAAACAACAAATATCATGAAGCTTAATAGTATTTATTTAAGGAATCATGTTAACTAGAAATTGCTGTGATATTCTGATAATAATATCACTTTACATAAGATAAAATGGCCTAATAGTTGTAAATTAATGGTAATCTGATATTCTTATGTTTTAAGGCTAATTATTCAAGTTATCTTGTTGATTCTTTTGTTACGATTTCTCTAACACCAAAATCCGTACTAGTTGTCGTCCGTGGCCTGTAAATCTCTATAATAACATCTCCGGCAATTTATGATATATGTTAGAGTCGTATAGTGGTCATTGGGTTACTAATGATGAGAGATACGATTTTCTGTTGAATATTGGCTAAAAGAACTTAAATTTTGATGGCATTTTATTGGCTAACCGTAATCAATCCATAAGTTATTAATCTACATTTTTTTAAACATTTATTCATGCATTAAATCTGTTTAGTACTGTAGAATAAATAAGAATATGTGCCAATATTTTTATTTACTAAATCGTAACATAAACATCACTAGGTGATCTTACCACGATACACGTATCCCAACACAGACTAAACATTTCAGGTCTTTATTACTAACGATTGCAAATAATAAATAATGAGAAATGAATATATGCATTTTCAACAATGTATTAGCTAATTGAACTCGGTAGGCAATTTAAACGACAGGTTGGCATTCCAAATGATGGTTACTAAATGTAAGGCGCAGTGAAATTTCGGTACGTATTGGTTTTTAATCGTAAACTCGATTAAACCCATGTCCTGTATTCCTCTCCTAACTGCAAATTGCCTCTAATAAACTAACTTACTTGCCTGAATGACGAAAACAGAACACCATAAGCACTTTTTAGTCGCCAGATTTATATTTATCATTGGCAAGATATTTAACTTGGATATTATAAGATCGATCAAAATGTGCATGTACAAATGTTTTCATTTTTTAGTTTGTAAAGAGTAATTAACATAAAACTATATCTATTGTGTGAACTCATGATTTAAATAAATACCGTGTGAAAAACGGACTTTTGTTTAAACTAATCTATTCATTTCTCTTTACAATTCTTTTTTTTTCAAAACAACGAATCGTTACAAAAACAGTAAAGCATATTTAGTCAGTAGTTATGGTGGCGGTGTTGATGATGACGATGATTTGATTTTTGAAGATTTTGCTCGTCTACGTTTAAAATCATATGAATCTGATAAACGTATGGATATAGCAGATTCATCTACGGCTGATTCAACAATGGCAACAAATGTCAATACACCTAACGCTGTCATTTCTCCATCATCTCCATCATAACAGTAATTTTTAAAAAAATGTATAATTCCTTATTTTCTACTAACATTCATTCTTGAATAGTTACACGATTTTTTTTTCTCTTGCTTTCATTACAATATATAATTATAATTATTATTTGTATTTTTATGGGTACTACTACTAATACTACTGATATTCAGTGCTTTTAACTAATGCTTTTGTTTATTTCAAAAGAAATTTTAATTCAATAATTTCAATTTATTACAAGTAAATCATTTCTTAATTATTATTCAGGCTGACTGATTATGATTTTTAGATCAGCTTGAATTTAAAACTGGAAAAAATTAAACATAGATTATTCTGACTGTTCAATATTTCTCTTCTTGTCACTCACTCTCTCTCTCTCTCTCTCCATACTCATTTGGTTTCTCTTCGTTTTATATGTGTCTTTCATCAAAATAGTTTGATCAATTTGTTTCCTTATAGAATTTGTACTAATGTTATACATTCAATGTATTGATTTTCAATGTATTCAACGTTATTTCTTATTCCCATTCATAAGTATAAATTATTTCATAACAATTATCAATTTATTTTCTCTTTTTTCTTGTTGCAAATCTCATAAATTAAATGAAAAATAATGAAAAGTAAATGAATGAAGAAATCTTTTAATGTAATTTGTCAATATCATTATTATTATTATTATTATTTAAGTTTTAATGATTTATTTTGAAAGAATAAAAGTCTTGTATATTTGTAACTTTCAATTGAGTTTTACATCAAAATAATAATGGACTTGGTGATAGAAGTATAGTAAGTAATAAGTGTTTGATTAGTAATGATCATCTATTAAGAAAAGTATATCAGTATTCATGTTTTAGCGTAAAAACCCAAACAGTACAGCTCAACTCTGTTTAGCAGGGGAACCAGACACCGTACAGGCTTTAACGCTACAATCTTAATAGTACAGCTCAATCCTGTGGCGTAACCACATAGGTACCAATAACCTTGGTGGACCATATATATATCTTTCGCTTTAGTTTTACTTAACTGAAATTAGGCTTATCTCATGGAGATATGTTCTATTCGAATACGGTGATAATTATACTACTGATATTATTTTTTATTTTAAATGATCTCTCTTGTATTTCAATCTATTGTTTTTTTAATAATTTAGAAATGAATTATTGTTTAACTAATATATCTTTAATGTTTCTACCGTGTAAATAAGTGAGAAATCTACATTAATACATCATCAAGTGGTCATTTTAACTTCTATTTATCGTTCTTTTATTCGTCACCGTAACTTTTTGTTTGTATATATTTGTTATTGACACATCACCATTAACATAAATGTCATTGTGATTGTCTTCAGTTTCTTTGCACATATATATATATATATATATATATATATATATATATATATATATATATATATATATATACCTATTCTTTGCTGATTGTCATACCCTGTGGCTATTATTTTCATTTCTCATTTACATAACCTTTTTTCTTCTTGTTGTTTCATAGCTGCTTTTATTCATTATTATGATTATTAAGTTTAAAATTTATCAGTTGAAAAACCCTTGCAAAGAACAAACCGAGTAAAGAAAAGAATAAATGAAGGGAAATTATGCGAATCCACGACAAATCTAATGAAGTTTTCTTTAATTTGTATAATAAAAAATATATCTTTATATTCTTTACTTCATTACTCGTGTTGTCATCAAAAATAAAAACAAAGTGTACAGTCAGATAAACGCAGAAAATATATAAGCACATTGACATTTTATGTAGTCTATGACTGATGTGAAATTTTAAGCTGCTCCCGAGACTTTTTGAAATATACCGTACAACAAAATATTTCAGACTGAAGCAATTTATTTCTCTACTTAATAATGAAGTTTTTAAACAGTCGATTGTACCCTGAAACACTTGTTTCAAAGTAATACATTACTGTATATTACAGTGGTTTGACTATGTTTTATGGTTCTTTAAAACTTGAAGGTTTCAAATTGCAATCAATATCTTAGAATTCTACAAAAAATGATGGCTGGCATTGGAATCCAGAAGGCTCATTTTATATTTTACAGGACTAGTCACCTGGATATCTTTACATCTCATTGCTGATATCCATTCATGGACGCATATAGTTTAACATTCACATTGTTGATGTACCTTTTTATATTTACATACAAATTGTGTTCACTAATTAAGACTAAATTTTATTGAGATTGTCTTGTAGTTAACAACCAATAATTTGGTTCGATAGGAGTGCATATCAGTAATTTATGCACTGCGAAGCCGTTGGCAAACAGTCTTTTCCAAACTGAACTCTGTGGTCAAAAGAGAACCATTTTTTCATAGACTTCACGCTTGATTTTTATAAACGGTAATCTGATTTCATCACACTCATCTAATATTTTTAATCTTATTAATTTTAATTGTTCGTTATAATCACCATGTTGTTGATTTATTCTTCATTTTTCTCAAACTCTTCAAGTTGACAATTATTCTTCGCATATTTAATTCCTTATTATTATCTTTCTTCAATCCACAATTATAAAGCCACTTTCTTCGAAACATAATATAATATAATCGTCTTCTTAATTTTCGGTCGACTATTTTATGTATAAATTAACCACAAATACGATGACGCAGTTTGAGTAAATGATATCGAAAAGAAAATTTTCTTTGCTGAACTATATCAACAAGTGGAGATTTGTAGCTCAGGTGAATGATTTTGGTGGAGTTTTGTTCTCTGAGCTGATTGGTTTGGTCGTGGAGCTTTCATCGTTCTTCTGAACGACATCATCAGCACAAACTTCAAATAGAAGTGAAGTGTTCGAATTTCTTCATATGTGTTTCACAGCTTGTTCTGTGCACCTCGATGTTGATTGGTTCTTGTTGACCTTAAATTTATCATTGTTTACTTCTTTGTTTTGGTTGTGTCTCCCATTGGTCTCCCATTTGTTCCTATATTTATGCATGATTTTCCTGATTGGTTGATAAATTGGATTGATTACAATATGTTTGTTGATTGCTGATTGACTTGAGTGCCAGGCTTCTAAAACAGGAGTCAAACAACCAACTAGCATTCTTGGATATATTGATCACTAGAACTGACTCAGGAAAACTGGAAACTCAAGTATATAGGAAACCGACCCATACAGATCAAATTCTCAACTACAACAGCAACAACCCAAGAGCTCACAAAATCAACTGCATACACACATTGTTCAAGAGGGCGAGGACACACTGCAGCACACTGGCAGCACGAAAAAATGAAGAGAAACACCTGATGGACATATTTCAAAAGAACGGCTACCCAATCAACTTCATCAAAGAGCACCAACTGCACACAGCATCAGAACCCAAGTCAAGCACAAAAATCAACAAAAGGATCACCCTACCGTACATACAAGGAATATCAGAAACCGCAACGAGACTGCTGAAAATCTTCGGGATAGGTGTAGCACACAAACCAACAAAATCACTACAATCAATCCTATGCAAACCAAAGGATGAAATATCAAAGGAAAACAAATCAAACATCATCTACAAAATAAATTGTACCAACTGCGACAAACACTACATCGGACAAAGCGGATGCCCCCTCCACCTACGCTTACATGAACATCAATTAGCAGTCAAACGCCATGATATCTCTTCACTTATATCAATACATAACTATGGACACTCATTCGATTGGGAAAATGTAGAAATCTTAGACAGAGGAAACTCCAAAAACACCAGAGAATTTCTAGAAGCCTGGCACTCAGGTCAATCAGCAATCAACAAACATATTGTAATCAATCCAATTTATCAACCAATCAGGAAAATCATGCATAAATATAGGAACAAATGGGAGACCAATGGGAGACACAACCAAAACAAAGAAGTAAACAATGATAAATTTAAGGTCAACAAGAACCAATCAACATCGAGGTGCACAGAACAAGCTGTGAAACACATATGAAGAAATTCGAACACTTCACTTCTATTTGAAGTTTGTGCTGATGATGTCGTTCAGAAGAACGATGAAAGCTCCACGACCAAACCATCCTATATCAACAAGTCTTGAATAATATCATAGGTTACTTTCATTATTGTCACTTTATTAAGTTCATAAGTTTACCATACTGGTACCTATTTAGATTTTAGCTTTACACGTAAAATCATTTTATAAATAATAAAGAAATATTTTATTAGTGTATGAAGTTCATTTTAAGAATCCGAGGTTCATCTGAGATGTTTGTTTATTTTTCTCGGAAAAATAATGTCTATCTATGTCCTTTCGAAAATTAAATTAAATGATTCCCTTAAAAACTAAGATATTGATTAGTACTAGATCACAGTTTGGTCTGGAATAATTCCAATATTAAATTTTGATGTAGATATACTTTAAATATTTCAACCTGTGAAAGATGAATCCACTATGTTATTATAGCAAAAATGACAAACTGTATGATTTAGCCGTTAGCACTGGTCAGTCATCAAGTTGACGTTAAGTGCTATTGAAATCAGGAAAAGATGACAGTGTCAGTTGCATAATGATCAAATATTGTGAACTAATACCTCAGTTTTTTTCACATTCTATATTTATTTATGTCTAATCGGAATCGTGTATTTATATTGACATTTTTTTCTACTTTATTTATTCATTATTTTTGTATGCAGTAATGCCTTGTTTGAACTTTGTTGTTTAACTGATCCATCATTTAAATAAATTTTGAAAATAACTGAGATCATAGACAATAACTGAATTCTAGATTTTCTTTTAACTCGGTTCGGAAATTAGTTTTAAATCCCTAATTTTGTATGGATCAACTGGAGAGCAAGTGCTTCTTTACTAGTGATAAGAAAATAGTTGTCAAATGACGCCATGTTTTCAATAGTTATCTAGTTAAACTCAGAATATAATACAAACTGTCTTCTAAGTGAACAACCTCCACAAATCTACTATACCAAAATTAAATGAACATTTAACCAGAGTGTTTATCATGCAAATTTTAATATCTGTTCTTACTTTTAGTAGGTGATGGGTATTCACACATTGATACTAGTAAGGTATATATTTTTGAATGACAATGAATGAAGTTTCAAACAGTGAGTTTATATTACTAGAAAAATCGTACTTCACTATTCAAATAATATATAGAAATCATACTAAATGAAAGACATTTGACTAATTTTCATGTTTCCATGAAACTAGAATCAGTTATTTCAATGATGATTAAAACTGAGTTTTTTTAAGAGTATCCACAGAATTCACGCCAGTTTACAGGCATGATCAATTTGATATAAATAGTAACATTAGATGTAGAGAACAAACATGTGATATAAGACAGTTTTAAGTATACTAGTTCAGTGATTTTTTAGGTAGTAAATAAGTTGCAACAGTCCAGTGCATCCGCAAGGAACTTTTAACTTGTTTTAAGTGGACAGCCTGTTGATTTATAAACGATATATTTAAGATTATTTCCTGTGCCAGGACGAAATATTGATAATTATCTACAACTAGAGAAAATAAAACGATCAATCAGGTCTACCATAATGCATGTGTCATATACTGTTAATGTTAGATATTATTCAAATAAGTTAAGGTTGCTAAGGGCAGTTTTCACGTAAAGTCAAAACAGGTAGATGATTTTAATTAGGGAACTCAGTAATAATAATGGTTAGAAATTTGAAGTTTCTATAATCTAACTTGTAGAATAAGATACACATACATGTATTAGAACATTTAATGCATTTTCA